AGTTAATTTTTTTTTATTACTTAAGTTTTTTTTTATAAAGTTTATAAATAGTATAATAATTTTATTATAATTTTAAATAAATTATTAATAATAATTAGCTAACTTAAAAAAACTTTATACTTCCTTAACTATTTTAAAAACTTTTTATTTTTTAATAATTATTATTTTAATAAGGTTTATTTTAATTTATTTTAGTAAAATAATATATTTTAAAAAGTTAACTTTTTATATATAAAATTAATATTTCTTTAATTTTATTAATAAATTTATATTTTATAATATTTCTAAAACTTAATATATATATTATTTATATTTTTTAAAAGTATTAAAGTAAATTAATATATTATTAAAATATATAATAATAAAATTATTAATATATTTCTTAAGGATTTTATTAATTATTTTTTAAAATATAATTAATATATTAATAAATTTAAAAAGTATAACTAAATATTTAAATAATTTATAATATATTTTAAATATTATTTTTTTTTAATTTAAATAAAATTATAAGTTTTTTTAAAATTAAAAGCTATAAACTATTATATAATTATTAACTTATTTTTTATTTTAAAAATTAAAAATAATAAGGTTTAATTTTTAATAAAAATTTTATTAAGTTATTAATAATTAATAATTAATTATAACTTTTTATTTTTTTTTAATATAAATATTATAAAGTATTTTATAAATAAAGTAAAAACTTAAATATATATTTTTTAAATTATTTATTTAATTATTTTTTTAATATTTTAAGCTTTTTTTTATTAAAATTATAGATTTTATAAATTCTAAGTTATTTTTTATTTATTAACTTAATAAAATAATTTTATTAAAAGTATAATAGTAACTTAGTATTTAATATTATTTAAAATAATTTTTTATATTCTTTATATAATTAAAGTATTTTAATAAAGGTATTATAAAGCTTTTTTAATTTCTTTTTTTTTTATACTTTACTTAATACTTTATTTAAGGCTATTAGCTTATTTTTAAATTATATAATAATTTAATTTATATAAATATATTTTACTTTTTTATATTATATATTATATTATAATAATATTAGTAATTTATATTTTTTAAATTTAATTATTTTTATTTTTATAATTAATATAAAATTTTTTAATTTTTTTAGTAATATAACTTTACTTTTTTATTTTTTTTAACTTAGTTAATACTTAAGTATATTCTTAATATTTTAATAAACTTTATTAATTTTTTATTAAATAATAAAATTATAATTAAGTAATTAAATATAGCTTAAGAGAATATTATTATTTAATATATTTAAAATATTAAATTTAATATTATAAGTTTTTTTATTAATAATTAATAAAAAATAATTAATTTTATATTTAATAAGTTTTTTTTTATTATTACTTTTAAAATACTTATTACTTATAATATTTATTTTATTAATAAAATAAAAATTTAAAATTCCTTAATTAATTATAATAAAATTAAGTTAATATTTACTTTATTATTAATATATATAATAATAAGGTTTTTACTAAGTAATATATTAATTTTATATTTTTTTAATTTAATAGTTTTTATAAAGTTAACTTAGATTTTTTTTTTTTATAAAAAAGTAGTTTTTTTTTATAATATTAAAATTATTATATTATTATTATTATAATTATTATTTTTAAAATTTTTAATATTATTAATATTTATTAATATTAATTTTATTAATATAGTATTTATAAAAATATATAATATTTTTTTTATAGATATATCCCTTAATATAAGTTTTAAAATTAAATTTATTATAATATAACTATTATTAAAATTATTTATAATTTTTTTTTACTAATTAATATTTTTTATAATTTTTATTATAATATTTTAAGGGGTTTAGCTTAAAGTATTTTAATTTTTTTTTTAATTATATTATTTTTTAATTTTATAATTAAAATATTAGTTATATTTTAAATTAAGGTATTTATTTAGGTTAATTTTTATATAATATTTATTATATAAATTCTTATATTAAATCTAAAAGTATTAATTATAAACTTTATTTTCTTAGTATTTAATATATAATAGCTTATTATATTATTAAATATTTAAATATTTATAGTTTTTTATAAATAAAATATTATATATAAATTATATTTTTTTTTATTTAAAAAACTAATTTTTAATTAAAATAAAGTAATAAGAGTTAATATTAATATATTTTATTAGCTTATTATTATTAAGTATAATTTATTAAATAATTTTATATTACTTAAGTATTTACTAAAATTTACTTAATTTTTATTTTTAGGTTTTTTTTAAGCTATAATTAAAAGGTTTTTATTTATAAAAGTAATTTAATCTTTAGGGTTTATATAATTTATATTACTTATATAATTTTAAAATATTTAAGTTAATATACCTTTAATTTTAAGGGTATTATTTTACTTTAAATTTTTCTTTTTACTTATAAATAAATATATTTTCTTATTTCTTTTTTTCTTTTATAAATAAAATATTTAAAACTTTATTTTATATAATTTTATATTTATTTTAAATTATATTTATTTTTCCTTTAGTAAAAATAATAATAAATATATTATTAATATTTTATTTAACTTAATTAATTTTTTTTTAAAAATTATTATAGTAATTATAATAAACTTAAGTTACTTTTTCTTTAGTATTTTAAAGTATTATTTTAATATTTTTTTTTCTTATATATAAAATATAAATTATTATAATAGCTAGTTTAATTAAGAAAGTTATAAAATATAATATTAATTATATTAACTTATATATTTTAAGTTTTTTTTTATTAATAGTTTTTTATAAAATATTAAGTTTTTTATATTTCCTTTAGTAATCCTTTTTTTTATAATTTATTTTATTATAATAATTATATTTACTTATAAATTTATAAATATTAATAATATTTAGGTTTATAAATCTTAGTTTTTTATTATTTAATAAAGCTAAGTTATATTTCTTACTTTAGTTAATATAATATTAAAAATAATAATATATTTTATTATTTTTTTCTTTTTTTATTTATTATTCTTTATATTACTTAAACTATTAATTATTAATATAACTAGCTTTTTTAAAAAATACTTTAAATATAATTAAAAAATTATCCTTAATAAATTTATTTTTTATTTTTAGTTTTAATTTTTAATAATATAATATTTTCTTAATTATATTTTTAAAATTTATTTTAATATAAATTTAAATAAATTTAGTAATATATTTAATATATATACTTTATTAATAAAGTTTAAGTAATATATTTTTTACTTTTTTCTTTTTATTAATTTAATTAAATAATATCTTAAGTTAATTTTTAATTCTTTATAATTATTAAAAAAATATATTAATAATTACTTTTTTTTTAACTTAATTATATTTTTTAAAATTATAAAAATATAATTTAAATTAATTCTTAGGTTTTTTAATAAATTAACTTTTTATAATACTAACTTATTTTTTTAATAAAATTATAATAATTAAAAAATACCTAAAATAAGCCTTTATATTAATAAAAAACCCTTTAATTTTATATAAGTTATTATTAAATAATATTAATATTAATAATTTAATAATTTTTTTAGTTTTTTTTTATATAAACTTTTTTATTAATATAAAATTATAAGTAATTATTTTTATTATTATTATATATTCTAAAGCTAATTATTTAAATTTTAAATTTCTTAAGTTTATTAATTAATAATATTTTAATTTATAATTTATTAATATACTATTTAAGTAATAATAATATCTAAGGCTTAAGCTTTTCCTATTATATTATTAAGGTTTATATTTTATAAATTTTATAAAAGTATAATAAAATTATTATTAATTATTAAGTTAATTATTATTTTAATTATTTTTTTAAATAAGTTAGTAATATTAATATTATTATTTTAATATTTACTTTATATTTTACTTTTTTAATTTATTTTTATATTTAAAATTTAAAAATTAATTATTTATATTTTTTATTAAAATATTACTTATAGCTTAAGGTAATTTTTAAATAAAAGTTATAAATATATAATAAATTAAGCTTTTATAAAGTTAATATAAAAGAAATTTCTTAAGGAATAAACCTTATATTAAGTTTATATTAATAAATAAGCTAGGCTAAATTAATAAGTAATTAATAAAAAATTAAGTATAAGGTATTTATATAATTATAGAAAATATTTTATAAATATAATTAAGTATTATTTTATATTTATAATTAACTATTTAATTATTTTAAATAAGTATAAAAAATAAAACTTATATATTTAGTTATACTAAACTAAATTAATAAATAATTTATTAATTTATTTATAAATTAATATTTATTTTATTAATCTAGTATTAAATTAAGAGAATATTTCTTAATCCTCTTTTAATTAATTAAAAAGATTAACTTTAATCTAGTGGTGCCTGGTGTATTAGTTCCTTAGTTGCGACTATAAGTGTTAGGTTATAACATAAGATTATATATTATTAGCAGGTATAACTATTGCTAAATAACGCTATTAAATATAAGCCTCTGCCCCAGAAGACTATCTCTTTATATACTAAGGAATATACTAACAACTGCTCCCTAAGCTGCCTTATTAAATAACCCTTTATTTCTATTATAACTCCTAGTAATTAATTTTATAATTAAGAGATAATATATTAGCCACTTTAGATTTAGGAAAAAGGGGACTTCTAATATATAATCTAAAGCTTTTAATAAGAAGAAAATAGTGTTTAGCTTAGTAAATAACCTAATATATAACGCCCTTGAATATATAAAGGAGGCCTTAATTAATAATAAAGAAGAGGATTTAAAATAGTAGAATTTATATTTATTTTTATAAAAAAGAGAATTTAGAATAAAAGAATTTATATTCATTTCCTAACACTTAGGAATAGTAGTATATAATAAAGCCTTATATAATAAGGTATAGAATATAAGAGAGAAGGGAGAGGGCAAGGGTATTCTAAGTCTGAATATCTTTTTAGTATAGGCTATAACAGAAAGCCACCGGTCAATGCAAACCCTTTGCAAGAGTGTAGACGGATACTGCCGCGGTGAGGGCTGTGGAGGAGTCGTTGTCAAGCGACTCGCCGACGCCGTTGCCGAAGGTGATCACATATACGGCGTCATTCGCGGCATTGACGTGAACCAGTGCGGAACAGCAAAGTCCATAACGCACTCTCACGCAGCAACACAAGAAGCGCTCTTCCGCAGTGTCATCAAGAAGAGCCGTGTCACACCAGACAGCATCAATGTTGTGGAAGCCCACGGAACCGGCACGCAGGCGGGCGACTATGCCGAGGTGTCGAGCCTCGCGGCCGTTTTTGGCAGCAAACGGTCATCAGACAACCCACTTCATCTCAGCTCAGTCAAAGGAAATATTGGGCATTCTGAGGCTGCTTCTGGAGTTGCCGGTCTTGTAAAACTTCTGCTAATGATGGAGAATAAAACGCTTCTTCCACAGGCATCCCATCAAGAAGTGATAGCTCGGCTGCGCGATCTCATGTCGAGCGGTAGGTTGCGTGTCCCAACGTGGCGGGAAGATTGGAACCCAGCTCCTGGACAACTCGCTCGGCGTGCCTTGATCAGCGATTTTGGTGCATCTGGGTCAAACGTGGCCCTTGTTCTGGAAGAGTACAAGACGACAAGGGGAGAGCAAGCCAGTCGAATGGCACATCACAACTTCCACGCAGCCATCATGTACTGAACCTCTCGGCAAAGAATAATCAGACATTGGGCGCAATGATTTCCAAGTATATTTCATATCTTGCCAACAACGACGGGATTACTCTGGCAGATGTGTGTTACTCGACCAATGCGAGGAGGCAGCGTTATTCGCCATCCAATCTCTGCGCAGATCTACTCCAATAGCTTTCCAAAATAAATCTAGACGATACAACTACATGTCCCGAAGGCTCTAAAAAACTAATATTCTCCTTCTCAGGTCAAGGCGACGTGCACATGGGCATGGGTGCAGGCCTCCTCTCGACAGTACCGGATTTTCGCAAGACAGTCCTTGACTGCGACAAGATTCTCTCCAATCATGGCTTCGCTCCAGTCATAACCTTTCTCAGCAACAATTCAGTCGCAACCAGCAAGTCAGGTGTTGTGTAGGAGGATGTTGTTGTTTCGCAATGTGCCTGTTGCGTCCTGCAGTATGCTTTGGCAAAGCTTTGGATGAGCTGGGGAATCATGCCAGATCTTATTATTGGCCACAGCTAGGCCATTGAAACTTCCGAGACAGACAGCTATGACTTCGAGTTCTAACAAAAAGCACCAAAACAAAGCATTGGCGAATACGCTGCATTTGCTATTTCAGGCGTATCAAGCGTAAAGGAAGCACTTCTCCTCGTCGCAACTCGTGCGCAAATCATGGTGCAAAAGTGCGCCGCATTAGCAAGCAGCATGCTGGCATGTAGAATGCTGGCCTCAATTGCAACAAAGGTTCTATCTGGCGACCCTATTGCATACCAAGATGTCACCATTGCTTGCTATAACAGTCCACAGGACATTGTTCTGAGTGGTCCGGCAGCATCGCTTGCCGCATTTGCCTCATACTGCAAGCGTGAGGGCACCAAGCACAAAGTTCTGCAAGTTCCCTACGGATTCCACTCGTCTTTCTTGGATCCAATCTTGGAGGAACTGGCCAAGGCTTCTGCAGGGACGAGAGCAAAGGCGCCTCAAATACCCGTCGGCTCGAGTTTGCTCGGTCGACTGTTGGATTCAGAGACGCCCATCAGCTCAGATTACTTTGTCCGCCATGCAAGGAGCCCGGTCAAATTTTCGAGTCTCGTGTCGGATATGGAGCATTGGTCTGTTGATGACCCTCTCACAATCCTGGAAATTGGCCCATCTGGATCCAGTAAGTTTTTAATACTGACGGGCTAACAATTTGATCTGGTATACTAATCGAAACAGCTGAATCGATGTTCAAGGCCGGGTTGAACAATCGGTCTCTTACCTTTCTCCCTTCCCTCCGACCAACTCAAGGCACGTGGACAACGCTCGACCCAGCTCTTCAAAAGCTCTCCCAAATCCAGTATCCCATCGACTGGCGAGTCGTCTACCACGGTACCTCTGCCAAGTTTCTCACATCTCTTCCACGTTACGCTCTTAATAAGTCCACGTATTTCATACCCTATAAGTTTCCGCGGACTATTACTTGGGGAGCCTGTGAGTGTGGTAAAGCAGAGCAACTTCAGGTGCCAAATTATGCTCTTCTATCTCTACTTCCACAGCACCACGGTCCCGCCACCTCTACGGAAGCAAGGTTCACAACGACAGTGAAGCAAATTAGTCGCTTCGTCAAAGCCCATACAGTTGGCGGGTCTCATCTCTGTCCAGCTTCCATCTATATGGAAATTGTACTTCAAGCCGCTGCACACCAACGCGCTTTGGACAAGGGCGAGGATATTTGCGTTTTTGACAAGGTTTCTTTTGAGCACCCTTTTGTTCTCACTGAGCAGATCCAACATACAGATGGGATAGAAACTCAGCTTGACACCGGGTTATTTGACAATGATTGGGAGTTCACTTGTACATCCAAGACAGAACGAGCTTATTGCGGTGGGCAACTTCGAAGCCACCACACGTCTTCCCAAGTCACCACTGATCTTCTCTGTCGAAAGACGGTCCAAGTGGAACGACTGAAGCGCTCTTTCGCTGCTTTATCCGGGCAGTTCATGCAGACTTTTTCTACGAGAACTATTTGCAGCATGCTTTTCCCCCGTGTGATCGAATGTAAAGAGCCCTACCTTACCCTGCGGCATCTCTCAATCAGCGACTCAGGTCTAGAAGGTCACGGAACGTTTGTATTGGAGCCCCTGCAGTCAGAATCTGGTGGTCGTTTCCTCACAACGCCTGCATTTTGGATACTTGTTGCATACATCAGGGTTTATCGCGAACACACACGTTTCGCCAGATATGGCCTGCATCTGTATTAGTCTCGAGCATGCCATGGTAAGCATCGTTATGTCGAAGATTTATGGCAAAGATCTGCAGGTATACTGTTGTATCGGAGACATTGGCAAGTCTTTCATTGCAGATGCCTACGCATTGGATCCTCAAGGTAACCTCATTGCTTATGTCGAAGGCATGTGCTTCAAAAAGATCAATCTCCAGTCGTTCAAGACCATTCTGGCTCGTTCCACGACAACAGTTCCGAGTGGTAGGCCGGCAACACCAGCATCCGTACCCAAGCCAACACTACGCGAGAAGAATGTAAGCATGCCAGAAAGCGTCATTCAAAGCAACACAGGCGAGGAAATGCATGTCCGTAGCGCCATCGTTTCCATCATTTATGATGTCTGCGGCCTTGATCATGATCCTCCCTCTTCCAAATCTCTAGAGGAGCTCGGCATAGACAGTCTTCTACTTATTGAGCTCATTGATACTCTTTGCAAAAAAATTAGCAGAACAGATTTCTCTAAGTTTCATGTAGAAGATTGCAAGACTATCGAGGACCTTATCACTGCCATTGCTGAGGCTTCAGAAACAGGGGTAACATCAACTGAAGCAACGCCAATGCAGTACACAAAACTGTCGCCAGTGGTCTCATCTTACGATGAACGGGTAGCCAGCGCGCCCAACGGCCAAGATAATCTGGCCACGACCGTCAAGTCAGTTTTCATGGATGTCTGCGGCTTAGATCCAACTGCAGAGATGGGTCACAGGCTCTGCTTCCTTGGTGTCGATTCGCTCATGACAATTGAACTGGCAGATGCTCTCCGCACAAGATTGAACATATATATTGATCATGGACATGGAGATATCGCAGAGTTGACGTACCAGCAACTGGAGGATTTATGCAAGGCATACGTCACTTCCGGTAAGCCTCCATCAAGTATCCCAGAAAGCAGTGATGAGATGGGCACTCCATTCTCGACTCCTGAGGATCAAGGCTCCATCATTGAGGAACCAGTTGCCGACACGGAAGAGAAAGCAACCTGCCCATCCACACTTCTGTATCATGATCCAACAGGGAGTGCCAGCTTGTACATGTTTCATGACGGAAGCGGCTTGTCAAAAATGTACGCTCGGCTGGATAATATGAATCGTGATGTATACGGAATCAGCAATTTGAGCTTTCCGTCATTTGTGCCTCGAAATACTGGTGCTCGGACAATGGAAGAGCTAGCATCCTATTACATCAAGTCTACAGATCTTGGAGCAAGGTCTGATATCATCCTAGGCGGTAAGTCAATAGCATGCGCAACATACTAGACATGAGTTAATTGAAGTCTTTTCCCCACAGGCTGGTCCTTTGGCGGAGTCTTGGCGTTCGAAGTCTCCCACCAGCTCCTGCACCAAGGCATCAGGGTAAAAGGAGTCATCTTGGTCGACTCGCCTGTCCCAAAAAGCCATGAAGCGCTTCCTCGCCAAATCATATCCTACATATTAAATCAGCGGAGAAATGGCAGCTTCAACAGCAATAGGGTCTCAGCAAACTCAGAGGTAGCCATGAGAGCCCGCGCCAGCATTGAAAGCCAGTTTCGGCGTCACGCAGACATGCTACAATGCTATAACCCGAAGAGAAATCCACATGGCGACGTTCCTTGCGTGATAATCAAGTGTGCAAGGAATATGGACACTATGAGTCTGTGTGGCGTAGAGTACCCGTTTCTTGGTAACTCTGAATCGAGGGACCAGTCGAACGGCGAGTGGGAGAACTTGACTAGCCAACGCATTCCGGTTCTTGATGTCAATTGCAACCATTTCGAAGTTTTTGATGACGTTTTTGTGAGTAGAGAGACTCTATGCTATTCACTACAAGTTTCGTATCTTGTCCACGGACATTGCTGACTATCAACACAGGCTGCCCACACATCGAGCCAGGTGGAGATGGCATGTAAGTTGTTGGAGAGCAGCATTTAATGGTGTCCAACGTAAGCAATTCAGTAATAGAAATATAGATATAAGGAATTAAGGATCAATACAATAGACCTAATTTTTTTTATTTAATACTTTGCGATCGTTTGGGAAGTACGATGCTGGATAGGCCTTCAATAGTGCGTTTCTTTGTAGATCTATGTCACGATATTAGGCACTTTCTGCTAGAGCTCGAGATTATGTGGCAATTATGTGACCTATTCGCATGCTTGTTTACGGAATTAAAAAGTTTGAAAGGATGCGAATTGATGATATTGAGCTACTTTGTGTGCAACGTAAATGAAATATACTGTAAACATTTGAACTTAGGTTCAAGAAATGATGTTTATGAGTACCAACGTCTTTCTTTCTTTCTCCTTTTTCTTTTTGTCTAGGTAGTAATAGAGACATTTGCATAGAGGATCCGAAAGTTGGTTTGGGGGGCGTCAAGGGGGATATAAGCTATGGCGCAGCTTGTTTGTTAGACGTAGTGGCGATTTGATGTATAATACGCAATCCTATGGGCAGGAGTGGTTGGCCATATCGATATCATCCCCATATATTTTATATTCCCAAGTGTTGAAATGTTTGCCAATTGGCCTTAGTCTGTTCATCTAGTCTTGCCTGGTCAGGCCTCCTACCTATGCCTGGTGGCCGGACTGCCCCTGTTCAACCAAGTACCGGTACTTCTACTAAGTCGGTGCCCCTATTTTCAACACCAAGTTTTGAGAACCGCATTGATGATGCTATAGATCATTTGGCAAAGCTTTCTTCATATCGTTTGTATGAACTAGGCGTCTCGTTGTAAGACTCTGTTCTGCCGCCACTTCATTCCTTTCAGACGGCGGATTAAAACTGAACCGGCACCTGTTGTTCCAATAAAAAGGGAAAACATCGTAAAGTACCAGCCGTATCCCACAGCATTGATGAGCGGCTGCATAACAGCAGGTGAAGTTACACTCAGTCCGCACCTCATGATCTGTCCTGAGGCATAGGCCGTGCTGGACATCTCGGGGAATATGTCCACAAGCAGTGCACTGGCAGTGTGACTTAACAAGGTTGATGTACCACAGATGAAAAATTGAAGAACAATGGGCGCGGCGGGATGTACACAGAAGTAGATCGCCCAGCTGTAGCCAATGACTAGAAGCACCTCGATCAGGATAAAGACAAAGCAATTCCTATATCTAGCGGCCTCTATGGGGAAGTCGATTTGGAGTTTCGCCTTCTTCTCCTCAGGATCGACATTATGATTTCTCGCAGTAATGGCGTAATTTCTGTCCACAAGCTTTCTGGCGATTATCCCCCCAATTGTCAGTCCTGCCGATCCGGGTGATAAGACGAGACCGATTTCGAAATCGTTATACTCGTAAATTTTGGCGAAGATGACCGGAATTGCAACTTGGAATGTACATGTATAGTATACAGAGTATGACGAAGCCATCATCCAAAGCACAGCCGTGGCATCTCTGTAAAGAATGACACGAAATGCAGCGAAAGTGTTGACAAATCGCCAGGATCACGTTTCCTTGCTCGGATGGGACTCACCATGCCCGTCTTCTCTTTGAGGCCTCTTCTTCCGGAGTATTGACCACCACGTCCGCCAAATTCCCACGGCTGGCACGCTGCCGTTCCCAACAACAGTTCGCGCAGTCTCGGGCAATGTAAATCCGACCAGAACCACGCACACAGCTGCGACAATAAACAGAGCAAGAAAAACCCGTCTCACACCTCCGGTACTCAGAGCAACGGCACCACCGATGACTGGCCCGACGGTGGAGATGCCGTTGCATGTCGACAGCATAGGGCCAAGCATACTCCCGCGTTCGGCAACAGGAGCAACATCGGCGACGATACCGTAGGAAACTGAAGTTATGGAGGAGCCGCTAATGCTCTGGAGGGCACGCAGTGCTAACAGGGCCGGATAACTCGTGCGATTGAGAGCAAGGCCGAGGCTGGGGATTGCGTAGAGCGTCACAAAACACAATAACCCGGGGCGGCGGCCGAAACTGTCTGCCAGAGAGGAAAAGAATGCCGGCGAAAGGGCCTGTGCGATAGCGTAGACGGTCACCGTGAGGTTGATAGCCTGGATAGAAACGCGCAGCTGGGTGCTGAGAATGGGGATAAGGGGGAAGCAGATTGTTGCCGTCAAAGCTGATAAGATCATGGCGAAGCCGAGCAAGTACGTGAGATAGGCGCGCAATGCCATAGAGAATGATGAATATTCGTAAGATTCCTCATGTTCCGCATCAGTGAAATGGCCTCATTATCCTGCGCTTTCTCTGACTTCTCCGTCGTTATCGGTGATTGTACTGGATCCAACTCTATGTCCGTCATTTTTGCCTTTCAGAGAGTCGAAAAGTTCTGGTCTTCAGATTAACGTCAATGGGACAAACACTTCATAGTCGCCAAATGTCTACGAACACGAGAGTCCATCAATCTGTATTTATACCAAAAAAACTGCCTTATTTAGGTACAAAGCGCACTTCAGAAAGGAATGTACTGACACCACCAACAGCCAATACAAGAGTTTCCCCCCCTACGTGCACGGTTGGTGACAGAATCATGTAGACAAAAGAATGTACATGGGGTGAACTCCCTTAATATGACTGGCTCTCTTGACCATGGCCGCGTTCCAGCGTGATAGCAGCTTAAGGCGGAAAATTTTCTTTTAGCTACTCATGTCACCATTCTCACTTGAGTTAAATTAATATAATTTTCTTTAAAAACTAAACTCATACTTTAGCTCAACGTTCTGTTACCCCATTTAATTATAATAAACAGATTTATTATAATATATTATGGACAAGGTTTCGGTATATTGTTTAGATCCCAACTATAGTGACAATACTTAGGACAATATAGTTTCCCATGGTAAGTTTGACTAGATTGTGATTGGATCCGGTTTCACCGCACTTACCTTCATTGATGAGGTGCTGAAGCATGATGAGAAGAAGCGAACTTTATGCCTTGAACGAGGTGGTATGTGTTACCAAATACGTCCCGAAACGTCGTTGATACTGACTGTTAATAGACTTTTGGCTTCCAACCCACTTTCAAAATATCCCCGAAGACTTAATGAGGGAATTTCCAAACTCCATGATCGATGCGTCCAAGCAGGACGGTTTCTGACATGCTGCTGAGAAGTTGCTTAACGAGATACCAGCTGACAAAATAAGAGACGGCATTTACCGCGAAATGCAGAACGCTATTGATGACCTCCTTAAGAAGAGACTAGTCAAATTCCCTCTGCTGATTCTGTCGAGCCAGCTCCTTTAGCTGTTGGTCCTAAGTCGCACACATCCACTCTGCGCTTCAACAAGTTTTCCGTTGCTGGTCCACTAATTGGGCTGCATGAAAAGCAGCGCAAGCTTGCTGAGAAGGGAGAAGGACGGCCGTTAGAGCTAATGATCAATTGTACCGTCACCGGACTTCAGAAGAACGACAAGGGAGTCGCCCGAGCCATCGAAACAAATCGGGGTTTGCTCTCATGGACTAACGATGATATAAAAGTAGTCTTATGTGCTGGAGTAAGTTGCTTGGACACTACCCCCATTAAAGTGATAAAAAAGTGAAATATTGACCCCCATCATAGGCCGTTCCTAATGCCACATTACTTCTCACCTCATTCGAGGAGTGTCGCCCCTCGAATGGCAATGTTGGCAAACGCCTGTCAGGTCATGTCCGGACAAACATTACAGCACGTATTCCACGTGAAGCTATCCATTGGGATGACAAGAATTCACTCCAGCTTGCTTGCACATATCTTGCTGGAAACGATCCGAATACACATCGCCAGTACCATATTGGAATTTCTGCAATTCATAGTCCCAATCCAGAGGCTGACGCCGAGGACGCAGGGCGGGAATGTCCTGACTATGCCGCAGCCGCCACGGATGGGCAGCTCAAGGGCTCCGAGAAGCATATTGTGTTTGGTAAGAACGTATAGTTACCTGCAATCTTTTTATTAGCAGTTATACTGATATGAAATGACAGTCTGCTCGGGATTGGGTGAGTTGGATGAAGGCAATAGGAAGAATTGTGTCAAACTGAACAACACACATGATCCTGCATCCAATGTCATCGTACAGTATACATTGTGCCCGAATGATAAAAAGATGTGGGATACTATGGACGAGGCAATCTACCAGACAACTGAAGCCCTTTCTGGCAATCAACCGAAAGCTATTGAATACTGGGACGACAAACCTAATACATGGGTCGCAAGAAAACCCTCCTCGGAGTCGGTTCGTGCGCCCGGAGTGGTACATGAGGCGAGCACGGCTTTTGTTGGACGCAAGCAGAAAGGTGGCTCGTTGGACAGCTTATACCGACCACATGGGATTGCCAATGTAGTGAGTACACCCATTACTTCTCGTTACGAGCCTCAAGTAACAATGTACGTTTAGTTTGTTACGGGTGGAGCGGTTTTCCCCACGTCAGGAAGTTGGAATCCGACAATGACAATGTGCGCATATGCACAAGACCTTGCAAGGAAGCTTGTATATTCTCCGGGCTTGATCCCGCCATCTCAGGACTATGAGGATCCGAACTAGCCTCAAAATCTGGATGTGAGTGATTAGATTTGGTCTATATCAGTTGCCGAGGACGGAATTTTTCTAGTAGTAGTTGTAAGCATCGAGAAAGAGGAATAATACTGGCTCGAGTAGGCGAGGCTGGGATGTGTACATGCAAGTATACATTCTGGAGGTTTGACCTGGGAGATGGAACTCAGGTCTGATAATAAACACCATTCTTTGCCTTAATTACGTGTTCGCTTGAGCAGCAGTGGCAATCGATTATATCATAAATTGAGATGTTGTTTGTTAGCGATGGGCAGAAAGATACTTGGCGGTTTTGAGATAAAGAATAAAGAGGCACCAGTTGTTCTTGGGGATAGAGAGCAGCCCATGAGATTTACCACCATAGGAGGAAGAGTACATATGCTAAGCCTTTGACCGACGGTTGTTGATAAACTTACCGATGAGATGTGAACAGTGTCGGTGAAGCACTGGCAGCAGCACTACAGCGTCCAGAGATATCAGTTAGCAGTGTGCATCAAAATGCGATCGCCGGTCAGTACGGAGTATCTTCCAAGAAGCTACCGGATATATAGCCATGGTCGTCCGGTTAAGCAGGGTAGTAGCACTCGTCCTCCATTTTATCTTTCTTTCTCTCAAAACGTCGGCTTCGCATGTTGGTATTAGCCATAAGACTTAATTTTCTAGGTAGTAATTACACTACGTTAGATGGTAAACAACCTATCCCTAATATACATAAGCAGAGTTCCCCACGACGATGTGAGTCTTGGAATGTGAGAAAGATTGCAAAGTCGCATAATCCTGGTTTACCGGGAAATGTTTTCGTTGGTTCTGGAATGCAGCGGTGCGGCCTAGTTGTCAAAGTATCGGCAACATGACCGTTAGCAAATATCAAAGCACCTGGCGGGTCAACAGAAGAGGAAGAAATCCGCAAACGGAGAGACTAGAGTGAAGTTATAAAGCAGTAAAGTGAATGAGGGGACACTGGCCTCACAGTGCACATATAATTGAACTTTCCATGTTCCTTCGATCTGACGTAAATACTGAACCTCGATGGCGGGGTATCACGCCATCCCATCTCATCTCTTCAACCAACTTCACGCAAAGCCCGGTAAGCAGCAGAATTTCATTTGACCAAGACTGCTGAGAATCAAGGAGTCGTGGTAGATTCTCTTGTAGGAGCACACGCGTGGGAATCTTTTCAAGAGAAAGGAAGCCCTTAAATAGCACCAAGTCCACCTGCTATCCTAACCTCTCGTGTTAGTGTCCAGAACAGCTCACCGCTCAAACAACATGGCCGGGGCGCCCAAAGATGATGAACTTGAAAGAGCAGCACAGCAGCTCGCCAACTTCCGCAAGGACAATGCGCTTCCGGAAATATTAGACCGGTACGCGGCCTTGATTGAGAGCTACAAGCGCCTGCAGAGCGATTATGAGGAGGAGCGGGACGCTCGGGAAAGGTACAAGCAAATTGCCAGAGGCGTGGAGCGAAACTCGTTTGTGCTCGTCTTGATTGACGGCGATGGCTACGTCTTCAATGAGAGCCTAGTGAGCAAAGGTATCGATGGCGGCCGTACTGCGGCGCAGCTACTCCACGAATCCATCAACACCAGTCTCCAGAGGAAGGGCATTGACCATTGTCAAATCATGGTGCGCGTTTGGGTGAACCTTGCCGGTCTATCAAAGGCGCTCAGCAGAGCAGGTCTCGTTGGCGTCGAGAAGCGCTCCCTCAGCCCCTTCATCGCCAGCTTCAATAGGTCATATGGCCTCTTTGACTTTATTGATGCTGGCGAGTGGAAAGAGAATGCCGACTTTAAGCTGCGCGCAATGCTGAACCTGTACGCAGAGAACCCGCAGTGCAAACACATCTACTTCGCGGCCTGTCATGATGTTGGATACATTTCCGACCTGACGACGTATATCGGCAACAGAGAGAGATTCACGCTCATCAACTCTTCTAGTGTTAAATTCCACAAGGAATATCTCAAACTGGGAATGGAGATAGAGGAGCTTCCTGGCGTGTTCCTATCAATGCCGCTAGGCGAAACAATTGTTTCCAATTCTTCTCGTCTCGGTCCCGCTTCGACCGTTGCTGAAAAGTCGACGGCGGTGGTTGCATGGGCACCACCAAGCCAATCAAGCAATTCCATGGGAAACGATCGCAAGCTCTGCTCCTTTTATCAGATTGGGAAATGCAAATACGGGAGAAGTTGCGTCAACTTACACGTTAGCAGCCACATCGACTACATGGACATGCAAAACGGCAGCCGTGCAAAAAGCATCATGCCATGACGCAGTCACAAGCAACGGCATGCCTGTGTTGTGGCAAAAGACAACAAAAAAGAAATATCATCGCTTGCCTGTACTCACGCGGCGTTGATATTTCATATAAATCTTGGGAGTATTAACATATAAATGTGTTAAACTTCTTAAAAAAATGGTTCGTTTCGTGGAGGATGGAGAATGTACATGTACCCACCTAGTTGGATTCAACATCTGCTTACATTACTTTTTGAGAATATGAAGCGAGCGTATTAAAAGCAGTGTAATAATTCTGCGCAACGTAGGCATTTACTACATAAACTCAACTGAGCCGAAGTCATAATGAATTGGGATGTTGAAAAATTTGTTTCTAGAGAGTAGCTCCTTTTTATGTCATCTACGAGAATTGGAAAAGTTGACCCTCATGTCTTCGACATGAGCATGCACAAGGGCCCTCTTCCTCTTGATCAATCCGTCGACTCTTCTTCATCAGCTACCCGCCTTGCCTTGCTCGTATCTTGGTCACTCTCCTCGTGCTCATGCAGCTTCACATTGATAAACATAGCCCACAGCCCCAGGTCATATGCTACGCGGAGCGCGCCGGCAGCCACGAATGCTACCCAGAATTTGTCCGAATCTGCAAGAGCACCCGTTATACTCGGCCCCATGAGAGAGGCCAATGTCCGCAATGTGCTCGTGATTCCCATGACAGCTGTTCGCTCTCCGGGCTTCACCGTTGCAGCGATGAGGGCCACCCGGGGAGCTTGATCCATATTATTGAGACCACCTCGAATGAATAAAAGTATCACTGTGAGGACAAGTCCTTGTGGCACTGGAAAGAGGAGCACAGCCATCGAAGACGGCAAGTGGGTGAAGACCATTGTGTTGACGAGTCCCAAGTGGCGCGATAGAGGACCGGCAAAGACAGTAGATATACTACCAAGGATGTAGTTTGTAGACATCAAGTCGCCAAGTTGTGACTTGGGCAGATGAAACTTGCGATCGAGATAGTAATTGGTCAGCGTGTACGAAACCATGCCATCCGCCAAGCAGTCGACGGTAAGAAGGAACCAGAGCTTGTACATGACGGACCGCGTCTTCGACGATATCTCTGCAAACCGGCTCTTCTTCTGCTCCACCGGCGACTCTGTGGTGGGTGGCACAATCTCGTCTTCTGCTTCTTCATCCGAGTTGCTGAGAAGTCCCTGTGTAACTTGCGCTCCCTCGTCTATTGACAGTGTCGGCTCGGTGATTTCGCAGTTGTCCGTCATGAGGCAGGAAAATACCATGTTGACGACCCCCATGATGATATAGGCCGCAAAGACAGCATGATATATGCGCCTCTCACTCCAACCGTCGCGCCTTTTTAATTCTTCAATGACTCGACCAGCCACTTCGATACCAACAGCGGATCCAAGATTCGATGTCACAACATACCACGATAGCACATCCGAGCGTGTCTGCGGATTCGTTAGATGAGATAGCACGGACTCTTCGATAGCTCGGAATGGCCCAAAATCGCCTCCACTGGCAGATATTACACCAATGACGGCGGCGAGCAGTAAGATCCAGAAATTCTCAAAATAGAGAAACACCAGCCCGGAAACTGCCATTAGCAGGCCGGAACCAAAGAAAACGCGACGTCTACCCAGACTGTCCGCCATAAAGGTGAGTAGAAAGGAGAGTACGGTGTCTCCGGCCAGCGTTAATGACATGAAGAGTCCGAGCTGGGGGTCACTGAAGCCCAAGGTAGTAAAGAAGAGCGCCATGATGAGGGACGTTCCTCCAAAGGCAAACATGCGACATGTTCGCGCCAGGATAATCAACCATGCATCACGGCCAGTGATATTGACAGAGCGAAGCCCAGACTCATGGTAAAGCCAATGAGCAGTTTCGCGTAAGCGGTGACTGTCGATTTGGAGACGATTCATGATGGCACACGACAACCAACTTATTCTAGGAGATTGAGAGAACAAGAACGAGATACATGTATGAACATGTAGTTTCCGCGGGGTTTAAAAGGCCCTAGTCAACTCCTCCGATGACGGCTCTGGAGGATTTCAAATGAAGAACACAATGAGAATGAGAGAGTGAAACAGAAAATGGATAAAATAAATTGCCGCTGTATGGATGAATAAAGTACGTGTTGAGTCCAAAGAGCGGTAAGTCAATCTCCCAACTAACCCAGATGTGTAGGTTCAGATACGACTCAATTCTGCCAGGTAGTATTGTCGTCTTTGCTCAGCCAGAAGGCCCTACTGTTTTCGTATAACGTCAATAACCTGGATGAGCACGATCGCCAGTATCTAACTAAATTCTGCTAGCACACGTGGAAGTGAAAAAAAAAATTATTTGCGCTCTTTAAGGCCTCTGCCGATATAGCCGGCTTCGGCTTTTATCAAGTCGCCGTTTTGTCCAGGTCGTTAAAAATGAGCTCGGTGTGTCCAGGTATGGTCGATAACTCGCTAGACTTTAGTGATTGAAGCGCTAATGTGCATGGATACCTATTGCTGTAATAAAATGCAGTTGAGAAAATGGGAGCAATTACATGTAGTCTGAGCATGGTTAAGAAACCTGGCTGAACTCGGATTTTTACTGCCATGGTTAGGGAATTTTGACTCTCGTCTTTTCTGTACTCACGTTTCTTATCATTCAAGATCTTTTTCGCTGCGTTCATCGCGTGCTCGACATGCTTCTCAGCGGCTAACTGGGCAAGTTGGGATTACGTGCGAAGCGTTGCGACTAACCAAAGAAAAGTCCTTCATCCGGGTCGCTAAAAAGCGATAAAGTGACCAAATTTATGACTCCAAAGCTCCATCTGATATGGGAGATCATCTCGGGCATTGTTGGGAGTTTCTTAATTTATATTGTGGACGTTTAACCCAAATTCCGCGGCAGTTGTATTACATTTGGTTGCTCAACACTATCAACAGCCAAGAGCAGTTGTAATACTTGTAACAGTTTCTTGTTACTCTTAGTTCAGTCCATTATAGTTTATAACGATCAGATAATCGCTTTTGATGCTGCATAGATATCGATCCTATTGCAAAAGTAACGAACAATGCTTGCTTTCAATTTACCGATCAATTCGAGTAACTGGAACCTCGGCGTCTAGCTTTGAATCGTTATCAGTCATCAAATATATCGTAGGCGCATTCAGCAGAATTGTAACTTGTACTTACATCTTGAGCATAAATAATCGATGCATCTCCACCGTCATAGCCGAAATCTTGAGCGTATGCATACATCTCTGCAATCTCTTCACTATACCCGCCTGGTGCAAGGTTATCATGCTCCGCCACTGTGGCCTTCTCAAACGTAGCTGGAGGGCCCGTAATTTTGCTCGAGAGCTGAACATATCCAGGTCTAGGTGAGGCGATCACAAATCGCTAAGATCCTTTCTTGCTGTATTTCTAAACACAATAGAAGAACCTTGGACAGTAGCCGTGATAAATACTACATAATTCGCATCTCCATTAACTATAACAATACCTTTAGCGGCCAGAGTTTGGCTTTCAAGCTTAAAAAGGGCGCGGGCAACACCTTGAATCTTCTATCCACCTTCTGTAAGGAAGATATTGTCAACAGAGGATCTATTTAAATCAAGAACAAGTATTTATTTTTATCTTATAAAGTAATCGGGACCTAAATCTAGGAAGGAGAGGGAGTTGGCCATTAGTTTCAACAAAGCGGATGGTCACCACGCCACGATAAAGAAAACAGAGGCAATACCAACGACATACCTGTACGCCCGTAATAGTAATAACAGCTAAATACTAGATTCGATATAACTAATGCTCTATGTTAATCCAAGCCAAGTAAATAGCTGGCGGAAATAATCTCAAACTTTAAGAGGCTAAGAAATACAAGCCTTGCGTATTCCGGATAGGATCGATAATATCACACACAGAGGTAAGATTGCACTTCGTCTGCGAGTTTGGTCAATAGATTCTTTTGTTAGAGCCGGAGCTGCCTGTCTTTGCTGCTGAGGCTCCGAACTTCCTGGGTTTTTGTCAACTTCTTCCCTGTCCCTCCAATATTGGGTAAGTAGTTAGTTACAAGTTTACCACTTGGTTCTTTGTAACTCGGCCAAGCCGACGTGAAGTGACACTGCTTTTTAGCACCTCGGTTTGATCAGTGCAGGGGTCACATCATATTTTTACGGGGCAAATCTTGAAGCCTCGGCACCGATGGACATGATATTTTAGCGTGAGCCACATTTGGGAATCTCAAATTCTATTACTAAATGCGGTAGGCAGTGCCACAGTCGGGCACCTCGCCTCAAGTGGTGGAATCATGGGCTTGTGAGCTTGCAAGGTAATCAATTATGTTGATCCCTCACGCATATGTTAATGAATAGACTTGGCAAACAAGATTCTCACGTCCTTTAGATCTCGCGTCAACAGCTCTCTCAATCTTGAAACCGAGTTCATCAATATGGTATCCTCTGTGAACGGACAAGAAATATGTTCTCGAATGTCGGTAGTACAGAGCATCACCAGCCTGTTTATCTAGTGACTTTAGTCAATGCTGATAAAAAAAGTTCATTCTGAGATCTAGGCTAAACAGGAGAAGAGAAATTGATCAAATCCACATGTGTGCTGTAACTGGAGCGAGGGGAGAAGCCGAACTATAACGGACGTATATAATAAAAAGGCATATGGTGATTATCAGCCAAAAATACAACCGCCGTTCAACGTCCTTGGCACGTCAACGAACAGAGGTAATACCTCATAAGGTAATGTGATCCACCAAGTGCTGAACCTTTTCATCCAAATTTAAACTCGCCTTTACCAACTCCTCACTCTTCTCCACGCCTGCCGCTAAGCTTGAAAACAGCTGAAATATGACTTCAGTGCCTTCTCCCCCGGCTCCTTCGAGAATCAGTATCTCCGCTGGCGCTGCCAGTCCCGCTTTTGCCTCATGCGCCAGCACTGTCGCTGCACTCATGGGGTTTCCCAAAACAACTCTTTTAATCCTTTGACCTGGGGCAATGCCATACAAGGGCGTCCAGAGGCTATGATCAATTTCCCAAAACAACATGAAGAGTTCCGGACCAATGTACTGCTTTGCGGTTGCGACGAAGCCCTCTTTTGTGGGAGAAGGACTTTGGAGGTATGCGACGATAGAAGGCCAGCCAGCCTCCGCAGGAGTCCCAATGGAGTTGTAAAGGCGGGCAGTTACCTCATCGAAGGAGCGGGTCGTTTTAATGGTTACGCGTTTGCTGGTGAAAGTATCTTCGATACGTGTTGTTGCTGGGGAGGACATTGTGTAGTAAAGTTGAAAATATTAGATGTGTTGGTTTATAATTTAGAAGGGTATATAGGCAGGAGGAAAATTATATGTATGTATTGGTACGATGTTAGAAACACATATAAGAAGATGAAAGCTCTCTCAGCCAAATTAACGGCGTTATATATAATGTGCGTTTCTGTAATACACCTATATCGGTCCATCAACAAGTCCGTCTCTCCGTAGGGTGCGGTGGATGAGAGACAGCAAGTCCGCCTCTTCATGCGTCATACGTAATTGATAATCAACGAAATTGTAAGATACATTCCATCGCACAAAACAATATCAGTAATCAAAAAAAGGGCACATTTGTTAGCATCACGAATTGGAACAAACCAACGCCCGATGTCAGTACAGCACCCAAAAGTTCTCACTCTAAACTGCGGGCCGAGGATTATTGTGGGCCGAGGCATCCCACCGAATTAATGATCCAACCATTGAGGGTGGCACCGAAGTGACGTAGCGTCCAGGGTCTCTCTTCCTTCGGCCAGAGTTGTTCGGGGTCATTACATAAAACATCCATGGCCAATATCATGTTATATAAGTAGAGTAGTTGTAAGAGGAAATGTGTTGTTGAATCACTCAGTAAATCACAAGCAATAAGAAAGTAACAGCAGCTCCAGCAAAAGCTACGCACTCTACCACACTAATCTTCTTTTCCATTTCTATTTTCAGTTGAACAACAAACTCATCAAAATGACCCACCCTGATATCTTCTATGAGCCACCTAAAGGCGAGAAGTCCGGTCTACCTCATGATCCCTTTAAAAGCTTTGTCATTCCTCGACCAATAGGTTGGATCAGTACCACAAGTTCCAGTGGCCAGGACAACCTTGCGCCATTCAGTCAATTCACCAATGTTTCCTTTGATCCTCCCACAATCATGTTTGTGGGACATCAATCGGTCTATAAACGTGAAAGCAAGGATTCGGTTGTCAATGCGCGGCAGACGGGAGAGTTTGTCTGGAATATGGCAACGTTAGTACAGAACAGTAGGTATACACGGGTGCTATGCTAATACTCTACCAGATTTGATACCAGAGATGCAATGAACGCCTCAGCTCTAGAGACTTGGAATGATGAGTTCCCCATTGCTGGTGTGACAAAAGTACCAAGTCGCGTTGTCAAACCTCCTCGAGTAGCAGAGTCCCCAGTCCAACTGGAGTGCAAAGTCCACTCCATTATCAGGATTCAGGGAGATTCTCTCGTGGGGCATTCTGATATCGTGGTTGGCCGAGTCGTTGCCATTCATGTAAAGGGAGAATATATTACAGCCGATGGGGTACGTCTTTCTCGATGCTTCCATGTGTTTGCGTTCGAATCTAACCTGGGTCTACGCAGCTGTTTGATGTTCTTAAAGCAGCTCCTCTTGCTCGCCTAGGCTACCACCAGTACACTGCCATCCGCGAGGTTTTCGAAATGAAAATGCCGTTCATGTACAATGATAATGTTAGTGGAAATATACTTGGTGGTGAGAAGGGAGCTTCAGATGCCGAGCTATATGCAACCAGGGATAATAGACCACTGGAAGAGAAGCAACAGGAGGAGCTGGAACATATGCAGGGGTCTACGATTAAGCGTAACTGAAGACAAGCATAAGTTTTGGCAAAGTTCTTCCTGAATCGCTGGAACCCTTCATAGAGACATACGCACGGTATCCTAGGTTAGACTTTTAGTACCTTGAACAATCTTGTTCAAGGTATGATTCTTAGACTGTGGTTATAAAGATTGAATAAATTCATACTTCTTGATCAAGTGTTCCAGATGCGATAGTTGGCAACACTTAACCAATAGGTCGAGACCAAGCAAAGACATTGTAGAGTGATTGGTTTACACTATCTTATACATTTCGAAATTGGTGGGTTTAAATTACAAAAAGGATATTGGTATCCGCTCTTCTACGAGACTCACAGTACTCGTATTATCCGCAACCAATTCCAAAAAGAATCTCACATGGGCCGCCTGTCTTATTTGCTGAGTCTCCATACTTCCAGCTTACATGCCAACTTCTTTACCATCCTTTTTCTTCTATAAGTACTTTGTTTACAGGTCGACTACGAGTACTCGATTCCTTGTGAATCTGCCAGGCCCCACGTGAAATAGTATCGCAGGGCGCTTGATTAGCGCCTCGGCTTGATCAGGACAGGGTCACATCGGCTTCCATTTCAGCGGGTCAAATCTTGAAGTTTAGGCACAGTGGATTTTTAGCGGCAGCCACCCGACCTTTCGGAATGGATCTCGAATGTTCAATTACCAAATGCGGCAGGCGGCACCACACAGCTCGCCTAAGTGCTATGGGCTTGTGAGCATGCAGATGATCAACTATGTCAATGTCTGGAGTATGGGTTAAAGTATAGAGCTTGTTAACAGAGTTCTCAATATGACGCTTGGGTGGCCCCCCATTTGTTCCGTCAACCTCCAAACCGAACCCCCCCCAATATAAGCTTCAACCCCCATGGCACACCAAGAAACAGTACGCGATACCCCATAAGATATTAAGATCCACCAAGTACTGAACTCTCTTATGTAGGAGAAAGTTTTTCGAGTTATGCGACGATAGAAGGGCAGCTAGCGTCCGTAGTAGTTCTAATAAAGTGGTAAAGGCGGGTAGTTATCTCATCAAATGACCAGCTGGTTACAACGGGTTTGCTGGTGAGGATATCTTTGATACGTGTTGTTACTAGGAGGACATTGTCAGTGAATTCGACACCACCAAACGTGCCGATTTGAAATTCGAAAAGACGTGTACATAAGTAGTTTGAAGAAGAAAGTTGTACGTATTCATGCAACCGCAGAAACAGATATGACGAGATGAGAGCTCTTGCAGTTCAAAAAGCAGCTGCATATATATATGTGCGTGTATCTGTAATATATATGATGCTGTTCCATTAATAAGTCCCTCTCCAGAGAGCGTGGTGTATAAGAGACACTAAGTTCTCGTCTTTAATGGATAATAAGCACTAAAGATTTAAGCGACTCCGCACATTCTATTGTATCAACCTGTTTTCATTATAACGACATCTTATTTTTAGTCAAACTCGATTGAAAATGACATCTATCCCATCCAATTTCCACGAGCAATTAATAATCTTTCCCTTTTCATCTCGATTAAAAGTGATAAGAAATGTGTCCCACTTCGTCCTGTTAATTCCCTTAGCAAGACATTCATTGTATGTATCTGGTAAATGACAAAATGTATCATCTGCATAATACTTCATCGTCCAAACCTGGTCGGCCTGGTCATTGACTATCATTTGCAGTCTCTCTGACTTTTTTGTCGCAGTCATCCGGAGTGTGACTATGTCCAGGTTCTTCATTACATAAGTACCAAGGAATTCGTCCAGAGGCACGGGCTTTAGATCTATTTGCCTGTGTCTTTCCAGCGGCTCTTCGAAATTCTTATGGTAGTAGTCGCGGTAATCCGCTGCAGCCTTCCGAGCAGCTTTAATCATGTCTACCTTCGGCTTGAGTTTGAACATGGTTTGAAGAATGTCTTGTGCAATCCAATCGGTAGCATCCCCTAGTCCCGTTCCATTAGACAAGACAACAATGGCTGCCTGGGCGTCAGGAATGATGTAAAGGTTGCATGTATATCCTGGGACATCGCCTTGGTGACTGTAGATGACAAGAGATGGAGATTTCAAGCCCACCACCGGAGACTCCAGGATCCTGTTCGGCGATATCAGTCCAAGCTTAGCTGGTGTTTGGTGATAACACCAGCCTGTGCAGTAATCACCGTCCAGAGGAGATTGGGAGTTGGCAATAATGGCCCTGTTAAAGACCGAGGCATGTGCCCCATTTTTGTCTGCTCGCTTAGGCTTCTGGGTCGATCTGTTTAATTGATACGAGCACCATTTCAAAAGATCATTTACAGAACTCCTTATGCCACCCGAGCCGCCATTCATAGAGTCGGCGGACAACTCTGTCGGAGGAATATATTGTGGCTCGCCATTTTCCAGTATCATATAAGATTTCGCTATGTTATTGTCGGTTTCGTGAATAGATCTAAACGCCGTGGTCCTCGTCATTTGTAGTGGAGTGAATATTCGATCGTTTTGAAAATGGCCCCATGTGGGGGAGCGTGAAAGACGTTCGACGACGCAGCCCGCAAGTTCATACATGCCATTGTTGTAATGAAACTTGGTCCGGAATGCATGCTTAATAGGCATTGCGCTACAGACTTTGACCACATCCTTTTTGGGGATGAGGATTCTCCCATTAAGTCCTTGGGTGATTTCGTCTAATCCGATTACACCCGTGCGGTGAGAACAGATGTCGCGCATAGTCATTTTCGAGAACTGTTGAGGGTCTTCACGATGTTTGAACTCGGGGATAACGGATTGGATGGTAGTGTCCCACGTAATGTGGCCGTCGCTGATGAGAAGCTCTATTGACTCGGCCATGAAAGCCTTTGATAAAGAGGCGATGCAATACAAAGTATCACTATTTGGTTCCTTTTTGGTGGCGACATCCATGACCCCAATGTTGTGTTTGAGAATTTCATCTCCGTTGTAAATGATGCCGATAGATATACCCGGTTGGTGAGTGACGCCTTGAATTTCGCGCCAAGTCGAGAATCGGCGTTGTAATCGGCATTTCATAAAAGCGGAGGACTGTGAACTTCCTATCACTCTTGGATCAGCGCGGCGGCGCGCGTGTTTGAGAAAGCCGAAAGCATTGAAGGGTAGGCAGCCCTGTGAAGAATCCTTGTCCAGTTGCAAGTACTGCGCTTCCATCATGAGATAGGAAAGAAGATAGATGGTTTGATGATTCAAGGGGGAGATGAATTGAACGCGAAAACGACGCGAAGGAGACAGTGTTCATACTTATCGAAGGGCAAGCTGATACACAGAAAAAATAGCATAACTCATACTTCTTCTACAGGAATATTCTGTTATATGTATATTTCTTAAATTTATAGATTTCTTTTTAAAAAACTATGAATTATAAAGCCATGTTTATATAATATATTGAATGATTGATTGAATAATATAAAACCTTTCTATTTATAAATACAGTATTACTATTTGAAGATGCCTACTGTAATAACATTGAAGTCTTATATATCAAATAAGTACCTGTAAGGTGTACCATTTACAACCCGTGTCCATCGGAACAGTGAGATCCCTTATAAGCAGTTGGTTCTGTCACAGTCATTGCTACAAATGCGACTACTGGCCGTATCTTTTGCCCTGCTTGGCGCTATGGTACAACAGAAAGTAGTGACATGTAACAATACCCCGCCCTACATACAGCGAGATTGATAAATGACCTGCGATAATTGACGCCTTACATTTCTGGTCTCAAGTCTTCCATCTTCCATCTTATGTCTCTCTCTTCTAAGAAAAAGCATGCCTCATTCTTGGGACGATCTTGAGCGCTTTCTCCTTAAGGAGCTCAAACCTGCGCAAAGAAATTTGCTGGCATCGCAGGGTATAAACGACTTCCAGAAGCTGGAAGCGAGGTTAAACACCCTTAGGATTGAACGCCATTTTCTCGGTATAGAAATGCATTGGAACAGATTAAATAAAGTCATCTCCCTGGTGAAGCCTGTGGCACATGCCGCTGATATTCTCGCACGAGGGAGTTGCTTACCATCAACCGCCATTTGGGGTGCATTGGGCCTTGTTATCGATGTGGGTTTCCGGGCATTTTCCCCACGTAACAATCTTCTATATTATACATTTCACTCATACAAATTCATGAGTAGTGCGCCGGTACTCAAGTTCAAATTTTGGATATTGTCCTCCACGCTTACGAAGACCTTTTTTCTGTACTCCCACGAGTAGCCAACTTTGCTCCAGCGCTCGACAAAAGCCGCAATCTCAAATTAGCAGTGGAAGATGTGTATTCGGCATTTACTTCCATTACTATGAAGATAATGAAAGTGATCGGAAGTGACTTAAAATTGTGTGAGTAGTCCTGGGAACAATTATTGAAAATGGTTTGATATATTGATGCTCTGATCGCCACAGCGTTCCTAATATCTTTACGATGGATGAGAGGCAAAAAGTTGCTTCAAAATTCTATTGTTAAAATCGACAGTTTGGTTCAAAAAGCTAGAATTGAAGCTAATATAGCTTTTGAAGAACATCGCCATGCTGAAAATACCCGGATGATGCGAGAGACTCTCGAATCTACGCAAGCCATTTTAGAGACTATTAATAAGAGCCAGTCATCGCCTAAAAACAACGAGAGTATCAAGGATGAGATATTCGCGGCGCCCAAGAGAAATCCATCGTTCAGTGGACGCGAAAATGAACTTACAGGGATAAAAGATCACTTGATCCCGACAAACCCTAGTGATGAATCCCAGACACAACATTTTGTTGTCATTTGTGGGCTCGGCGGTATGGGTAAGAGCCAATTGGCTCTTGAGTATGCGCATCAAAATAAGAGCTATTATAAGGCTTGTTTTTGGATTACCTGCGACTCAGCGGTCAAGATTGCCGAAGATTTTGCCCAAATTGCGCAAATTCTTGGGTACGATGATGCTGGTGTCGTGCAGAACCAGTCAAGGGTTCACTCTTGGCTGCTTGAAACAGGTAATGTTGTAGCGCCTTGGAACATATTACATCAGAAAACTAATTGTAACAGATCGAAAATGGCTTTTAATTTTAGATAACGCGGAATCTCCCTCGGAAGTGAGCTTCTGGCCACAAACCAATAATGGTTCCATTATTCTTACAACCCAGGATAGAAGTTGGTTGTTTCGAGAACACACGACTTTACGCATCCAGCTCCATGAGCTTCTTCGTGATGAAGGTGAAGGGTTGGTAGCTGAGGTATTTGACAAGCATCGGAGACCAATTTCTCAAAGTGAAGCTCATGAACTTTTCGAAATAACGGGAGGCTTACCTTTAGCCATACGCCAAATCACTTCTTACATCATTGCAGAAAATTTGAACATTGAAGAAGTTCTTAAAGATTACACGGCTCAGAAAAACGCCAAGGTCATCAACGAATGGCAGCACAGTACAACGTCAATTTATTCACACACCCTTGCTACATTTTTAAATATATCGTTTGCCAAACTTCGAGATAGAGCTCTATTGATATTGAGAATCTTATGTGTTCTTGATGTCGATAAAATCCAGGAATCTATACTGTATCTTGAAGGCAAAGCCGTCGATAATGAGTCTCCGTTTGGAACCTTGAGCCGGTATATAAATCTCAGACTACCGTCAATATTTAGACGAGCTAACCGATGTCAGCCATGATAAGGATCTTTCTGATCTTTACAGATATTCGCTCATTTCAAAAAATAGAGATGAGAGTTACATTACGGTACACCGACAAGTGAAGCAGAATGTACTTAGTAGCCTTACGAAACCGCAGTTTGAACAGGCTATATCATGGGTCATCTACCGCTTGCGACTACTTTTCCCAAGGCAGTCACCTTTTTCGGAGGAATTGAATGATTCATTCCCAAACTGTGCCCTTTGCATTAATCATCTATTGGAGCTACGGAAAGCAATACACATATCGAATGGCTATGATATTGTCAGGGAGACGCAAGATCTGGCAAGCTTGTACCTCGATGGAGGCATCTACCTCTGGGCCAAAGGTTTTTTGGTAGATGGAAAGGCACTCACGAGCGAGGCAAAGAAAGTGTGCGATATAGCATTGGTGGACAAACCTATGATGGCTCAAATTTATTCGTTCCACGCATCTATCCTGTCTGATTCGGGAGAAGTCAAGCCGGCTTTGGAATACTTTGAAAAGTCTCTTGAAATACTCAAACTTTACATGAGAAATATCCGAGATACAGCACTGGAATCAGATGAAGCTCTTTTTGCTAACGCATGGAACAACTTAGCAGGAATTTATTGCGCAATAGAGGACTATGACAAAGCGGAAATGTATAACAAAATTTCGATCAAACAAAAGGAGAAATTAGCAAAGTGCTTCGATGACGACAAGAAAATGGCACACTTGTTTTGCCTATCGAATGAGAATATGGCAGCTACTTATGCTCGACAGATGCGGTATGAGGAAGCCGAAGATTATTTTGAGAAAGCAATCACTCAAGCAACTCTGGCAAACTCAACATCGCGTCTCGCTCTGATACACCATAATTTTGGCATTATGAGGCTCATGCAAGATCAGATACGCGAAGCTACAAAACTCTTCAACGAAGCATCTAATTTACGTTTCCAGAAACTGGGCAAATATCCAGATACTGCCACTTCGTTGCATATGTTGGCCAGTTGTTACTGTAAACTTGGTGGATTTGAGGATTTGATCATGGCAAGGTAGGTGATAAAAGGCAACAATGAATGATAATGCTGTCGTGCACTGCCTGACAACTGAGATTCTAGGAAGCTATTGTTGCAGGCCCTTGACATCTTTAATTCTCACATCGACGCGAATGAAATGTATGTCGCGCGAACACAATTCAAGCTGGCCCTGGCCCAGGAGGCACTTCAAGACCCAGACGCCGTCAAATCACACCAAATTGCAAGAGACCTTTACAAAAAAATAACAGGGAAGTTTGATAATCCAGATGAAGAAAAGCTCGATAAACTAGTGCCATATATTTAATAAGATATTATTGTTGTGTTTATAGGTTATATTTAGCTAATACACATAATTACTAAAATTAAAAAAGAAATGACTAGCTGCGAAATAAAATAAAATAATTAAACTATAGTTTTAATTACTACTATTACTACTGCCACTACTACATGTACTTTGTTACCTCATTGATTTACATATAAAAACCCTATTTTGGTCTCATTGACTTGATTTTACACTTACTCTTGAATTCCTTCACATTTTCACACTTTTGCACCTGTTTTACTTCTTGATTATATCGCGCGATGGAGAACTGCGACCTGGAAGTGGATGAGTATTTTACTATTGCCAACATCCGATATTTGGATCGCCATGAACTCTATAAAACACAAAAACCTTACGAAGTTACATTTTCCCCCGTCCATGTGAAACATCCTGGCGCGAAAAGAACAAATCTCTATCTTAGTGCTTGGCCAGTCGAAGTCTCTGACTTCAGTACTCATAAAGAGTCATTCAATACTGATGTCCAAGGATTTGAGATGGATCAATTTTCAACGTCTCTGTCTCTTTCAAGTTTTGCCGATCTTGATACCAACAAAATGAAATATCATGAAGAGGCTATAGAGTATCTCAAGAGAAAATTCAATGTAGAAAGAGTCTTCATTTTTGATACAACGGTAAATCACCCTTTCAATGTACCATCCACAAAGATAGTACTGAACATCTTACCAATTTTTCTACATAATAGATGAGAAGCGCAAACAAGCCGCTAGGTCATTCAAGATTAATTCTTTCAAATGATCAAATGTTGAGACCCGCAAATGATTGCCATGTTGGTATGTCTGTACTCAGAACAGCGAGATAAAACATTTTTCGTTGATTTATGATGTGTTTTAAATGGCATTATAGATCAATCAAGGCGCAGTGTTCTTAGACGTGTTCAACATTTGTTCCCTGATGAGGCTGAACAGCTTCTTAAACACAGAATTAGGGTGATTAAGTAAGTGCTGCCCTTGTATTTAAGATTAATTTCCAGTGAAATAATTTCATGTTTCTATAGCATTTGGAGACCTCTCGTATGGCCTCAGCATACACATCCCTTGGCCATGTGCGATTGGAGATCGACTGACCCGGCTGATTTCACTCCAAGCGACCTAAAAAGCTCTGTGTGGGAAGGTGAAGTCTTGCAAGTCCACCATAATCCGAATCATAAATGGTGGTTTGCCAAACGAATGGAGAAAGACGATGTTCTCTTGATCAAAATGTATGACTCAGATGCAGAGGCATCAGAGAGTGCTATTGCAATGTGTAAGTCGTCCATAAAATTGGCACTGCAGGAAATGAAAGCCTTTAATCATTTAAGTTTAGGTGCTCCGCATTCGTCGTTTGAATGGAAGGATGCACCGAAAGGGGCGCAGCCAAGACAGAGTCTGGAAATCAGGGCAATCTTGTTCTCTTGAATGAGGACAGGGGAACGATCTCTGACGACAGCATAAGGTTGTGCTTAATATGATATAGTATTGATTGTAATGGGATAACGACACATCTTCTACTCTATGATATGCACGTGGACAGGAAATACACATCCTATGCCATAAGACTTTATATTGAACCAGGCAATGATTTAATAAAGGTCATTTTGAATAAGACTGTAAAGTGGTATAATGAAAGTGTTACACCTCTTATCCGGCCTTGTTTGTATTGGTCGGTGAACCGGTATCACCATCACCATCAACCTCACCCTCGCCTTCGCCCTGGACGTTGCTACCACCTTCATTTTCGCCGTTGTGGTTTTGTTCTGTAGTTACCAAAGTAAGTATTTGTGTGCCCACTCTTCCCGATGACTCTCTTACCCAGGTCTGCTTCATTTACTTCCCTGCGAGCAGCTAACTCAGCTTCCGCCCATTCTTTCCAAGGTTGTGTTCGTGTATCCTTGGAGTCGGAGGAATCTGATCCAGCAGTACTAGATGAGCTCATAATTAAATCGAATAAATGAAAGATAATCTATGTTCCAAGATAATGAGAAAGTAAGAATGAAGAAGAGGGGGGAAATACAAAGGCAGAGATACAATTTAACCCAACCACCTGTACTTTATAATGTACTTAATAGAATACCAAACGTTAGAATGTATAGATAAGTTAATAATTTAATGTTATAAAAATTGATTAATTTATTATAACAGAATTTAAGTATTTCAGAATAAAGTTTTACTTGGTTTTTTTTTTATTTCCCCTTATGAATTAATATTTTGAATCCTATAGTCTAACAATTATCAGCTTGTTCAATTCGTATCCTTTTGCAGCTCGTAGTGCCATTGGCTAATGTCAGCCTCGCGATGGCCGTAGCCCCAGCGTCACGTTAGGACGCCTCTACATACAGTTACTGATGGATTACAAATTCCTCACAGTAACGTCTTCTTTTCTGCCCAATAATTTAATATTTCACATTAAACATGGTGTCTTAATCTAAACACAACAGAGCGCCTGACTCAATGTGAGGGGGTTCGAGCTACGTGTTTTCTGATAACCAACACATCTGCAGTATATTACATCCAATCACCCATTACCACATTTTATGTAGTACCCACCTCTGGTAGTACAACTCCTGAATAATGGCTCACTCGTGATACAGCCACGCAATTAGCCAGCCTCACATTATCCAATCGCCTAATATATCAATATCCAAGGGGGTGGCATAATATCACTGTCACAGCGCCTGACCTGAGGTTGCAATTTTGGCCATACGCCAAGCCAACGCCTCATTTCACAAGGAATGAATCAGGAATCCTACAATTTGTGATGGTGATATTTTTATACGCTGCATATTTTCTGAGCGTGCACATCTTTTAACGATGTTCCAAACATCCGTCTTGCAATCACTTTGATACTCTCTTCAACACGAATCAGATCCCCTACATTTACTATCAATCAGTCTTTGTTCACGAGCATGGCGGCAACACCTGAAGCAAATTCAGTACATGTCGAGTACATTCGCTCTGACGTATACAATAAAGCTAAACCGGATTCAGATGACCCTTTTCGTCATTCTGCGGCTGTAAACTCCCACAACCATCACCATTTGCATCCGTGGGGGAAGCATATCATTGCTGGATCTAAAGACTTTGACGTATTATATTCGCACGCCAACAACAAATACATGTACCATCTATGGTACGTCGATGAGCTTGAGCCTTTCATGGCGACGAAACTTCTGAAAATTCAACCCCTTTCAGCGGAATTGGTAAACGACCTTCAATCTTGCGTCACAACCGTTCTTGAAACAGGCATCGATGCTGCTCTACGAAGTTATGAGGGTAGAAAGCTTGTGGTGTCGTTCCAGGCCATCCTTGATGATGCTACTAAAGATTTCTCTGGTCCAATCTTTGTGCGGCTCGGTGCCACGTCAGCTAAAGACAGCTTTGCCAATGGCGCCCCAACTGCGAAGCCCAGCCCTTTGCCTCCCAACTCGGACCTGGTCCTTCGTCGTCTGCTCAGCAGCGGACGTGTTACTGGTCGCCTTCTGGCACTTGCAGATCGCGTATGGGCAGATGACCCAGGTGAGGCACTTATTGTTCAGCAATGGTCTCCAGATGTGGAAATAAGGCGAGAAATCCGGGTCTTTTGTTTTGCTGGCCGCGTTACTGCCATTAGCCAAGATGTGTGGTGGGAGAAATCAGGTTGGCGTGACAGATACTCGGATGGATTTGTCCAAGCTATCACCAACCTATGGGACGCTGTCAAAGGCTTCTTGCCCTTTGATACGTGTACTATGGATGTTCTAATGACTCCACCAGGTGATCAACAGCCTTGGACAGCAAAGATAATTGAATTCAATGGCTTTGGAGCCCACCTCAATACCGGAAGTGATCTTTTTCATTGGGTTAGTGACAATGATATTCTTCAAGGGAAATCCCTTGGAGTTGTCGTTCGGTTTGTTGATGACTGGGATGATGATGATGCTACTACCGCTGTAGGTGATAGCCTAGCAACAACTTCTGAATCAACTTTAGGAGATGGGGAGGAGCCAGATTGGGCTGTGTTAGAGAGGGAGCTACAGGCCAAATATTCCGACAAAAATAAAGACGAGAAACGTATGAAGATAGAGCAAGTTGGCCTACCGCTAAATGGCCGCTGGTGCAGCGCGTATTAAGTTAGGCTTTCATATATGAAGGATGATTTATTTATATATCATGTATAGCCTTATTTTTTAAAAGGCGTTACTATTATTTAAGAAAAGCTATAAAAAAACCACAGTGTCCAATTTAAAAAAAAAAAAACGAACAATCTCTTGTCTTGTCTTGTCTTCTTTTCTTTTTTGCACCAAAGGTGTGCCAGGAAGCATTTATTCTTCTCATCCAATTTACCGCTGCTCATATCTTGGATTCAACACAGAGAATGATTGAACAGTGTACATTGGACGGAAACAGTGACCTCTATGGGCTTGGTATCCGTACTGGCATATATTTGCAATGGTTGACATTCATTCTGGGCCATAATCTATATACGCAGGCCGCTACCTCAATGCAGGCTACCAAAACAATCTACCAGTTGGCCATGTTCTCTGGACTCCTTCTCCTGGTGAGCCATAAACCGAGCGACACGACAGCCATCGACGTCTATATTACCTTGCTTTTATGTTATTCTTGCGCTTGTCTTTCATCAATCTACGAGCTGTCCGCTCTCAGTCGTGGGGATATGGGTCACATCATGCTTGTTCAGAGCGCTGCAGATTTGCTTCTTAGCGCTGCAGTCACTGCATATGGCATTTGGTTCTTATTCGTTGGCTTGGACAGACTTCCTCGCACGACTTGCCCCGAGACAGTCTTTTTCTTTGCTCCGGTGAAGCTATTTGGATGGTTCAGGGTGCTCCTCAAAATATTTTTTATTGCAAGCTTGGCGGGCATTAGTGTCATGATATTCCAGAACATCATCAAGCTTTTGGGCACCCTGAATGAAATCTTGACTATATCGGACTTGATGCTATGCCATCCTGAGCTTGTTCAAGTTATTACTGTTCATGGACGAAAGTTCTTTAGCGAAATCATCGCCTTGAGTATTTTCATTGTCATGGTAGAGCTCACATTGGCGTGGAACGATATTCAAGGCATCTACACATGCTTGACGTTTGGTCAATTATTTCCACTCATTACTGGGGTTGGTAATTTTATTCTCTTTTCATACCAGCTACTGACGTCTTTGGTGTTGGGAGATTTGAGGTTAAAATGGAAGTTATGAGGTATTCATAAAACAGCTGGTATACTAAATATCGACGCATAGAGCAGGCCAGGCCTAGATAGCCATTGTATAGTGTTGTAATCAATATGACTTAGACCAACCAATAAGCTGCCAAAACATTTCAAGATCTTGTATCTCCAAGTCGTCGAGCTTCTGCCTCACGGCGGACAGGTTATCACGCATATGCTGTAGGTTCGTTGATCCATCCAAGAAACCTAGTCGAAGCCCATGGTGCGCTGCGCCTCCAACAAGCATCTGCAACAGGGCTTGGTGTAAACTAAGGGATTTCTCTTGCGCGCGCCGCTGGACAGGCTCACTTTGGAGAAGCTCCTCGTTGGCTTTGTCAAACAAGCCAAATATCTGATAGACGATGTCATTGTCTCTGCAAAACGCCATTACTTTGCCGTCGTACTGGCTTTCCTTCCGAAACCAATTTTGCACGAATGTTGGTTTGATCTCGGCTGCGTTGTAGAGCTGTTTGAGCTGCACGTAGCTCACGTTGGATATACCCAAATAACGGACCCCACCCTGCTTCACAAGGCGCTCTAGGGCTCGCCATGCTGTTAAGGTATCTGTATGCGTTCGTAGAGGAGTATGAAGAAAATAGGCGTCTATCACATCTATATGTAGATTGTTCGCACTACAAAGCACGCTCCTTAAGATGCGGCTTGGTATATCGTCGGCGACTTCGTATGGCAACGGCTTCTCATGATCGGACGGAGTTGCGAATTTGGAGACAACGAAGAGTGCCTCACGACATGCGATATTTTCATTATTCGCTAAAAATCTGGATATGGCGTTACCGTCTTCTTTCTCTCGATGGAATCGTTTGGAACTAGCTGTATCAATAACACGATATCCCATTTGTAATGCCTCTAATAAAATGGGGGGTGCTTTATTTTGTCTTCTTGCTGTGCCATAAATGATAGTTGGCAAATCGTTACCATTGAGTAATACTGGCATGATTTTTTTAGTGGGAGTTTTGATATATCGGGAGTACTTAGTTATTGCCGTGATATAATAAACCTAAAAAAACATAACGGCATAGAATGACTCGAATGACTCGGGCCAAAGTTAAAATGTTTAATAATGACGGGAATAACATGACACAAGGTCCACCTGGGCTAACCACAGGCAACTAACTCATAACGTACCGACATCAAATTGGCCCCCTCCCCAGCATTCCAAATACTACCGCATGTGGTAGGTGGTGCTATAAAGTAGGGGTCTCCTCCAAGTCTTCAGGTACTATGACTGTTTCACTCCCATTAGCTGTGTGAGATGTTATGGATGCCACACTCGACACTGGGCGCATAGAATTCGCTAGTATAATTCTTGGCCAACCATTGGATTCTACACAGTCTATAATCTACTCTCAAACCAGAACCCAAATCCGTCAACATGCTATGCGCGCGGCTTTCCGGGCGAAAGCAAACCCTTTCTCGGGTGATCAAGCTCCGACCACGCCGGCGTTGCAGCCCCAGTCAATGTTCACTGGTAAATTTCGATCTAGGCCTTACTCGAAGATCAGACGGGCAAAACAAGCGCAGTCCATCAGTGAAGTTCGAGATGATCGCAGCGAGGAGAGAGTGGCGTCGGCAACAAGCAAGGCATGCATAGCACCAGCAATCGATGCTGGCAAGACTGATCCATTTCATACTCTTCCAGTGAAGATAGGTCCATTGCAAGAACATCTTCTGAAACTAAGTTGGTCTTTCTTTGTGGTGCAGAATTATACAATCTAATCATTCTAGTACCTATTACCTTTTACATGCAGAACCCTCTCGTGTTGAACCCAGAATATTCCCCTTTACCATACGCCTTTGCTGACGCCGCGCTGCTCCACGCTCTTTTCGCACTCACAAGCCTGTACCGGGATCTTAGCGTCGGAGCGGAGATCACTCCGCTTTGTCTCGTGCATAAAGGCGAGATGCTGAGGATAATAAATGAACGGATTACAAAGACGCCATTGCAACTTAGCGATGGGACCATCGGTGCTGTAACTGCATTGGCGATATTTGATGCAAGTCAAGTCACTGTAAATTTGCTGCAAGAGCGCTAACCTCTGTGATTAGTTACTGGAGGGCCGACTACAAAACGCTCGTTGGAATCTTCGAGGGCTTCAACGCATGGTTGTTCAAAGAGGTGGCCTACAAACTGTTGGAAAAGAAGCCCGGCAGGTTTGTGGAACATCGTTATTGCAAAGGGCCATATGCTGGTAAGACTGAACCCGAAGCCTACTCCAAACATGGCGTTTCCTGCTGACTAGCTCAAAGGTCAGATCTCTGCTCCGCTGCCTTCACTAACGAGAAACCACGGTTCGCTGTATTAACGCCTTCGAGCTCGCCTTTATCAAGACCCTATGTACAAGACAACTCCCTATTTTCAAGCATCGGATCTATATTTGACATGCTCTCGGAACTCTCTATTGCACTTTGCCACTCTCACAACTCATTTTCACGTCGACTTTCCTTCAGCAACAACATTTACTTGGTGGAGCACGCTCTACATTCCTTACCTCAGAATATATACTCTTGTTACCACGAACCTAGAAGAATAGCAGCTATCATCTACGTCTATCTGTTCCTTCGCCAAATTCCTCCTTCTGCCGGCATTTACCAACCCCTCTTGGGTCGTCTTCATGCCGCCGTGGGCCAGAGCATAAACAAAAACAGCAAAAGTTTCAGCAATCACCCTTCAAATTTATTTCTGTTGTGGGTCTGCTTTATTGGTGCTGCCATTTCTAGGCCACCAAATAAGATAGAGGGTTGTCGAGAACGGTGGATTAGTTTATTGCGGAATGTTCGCAAAGGATTGAACGTGGTGTCCGAAATTAGTTTTGAGGTTTACCTAAATCAGGTGGTCGAGATGGGTAGCCTTTGCCGGGAGATCTGTCACACTGTCTGGAGAGAAGTGGATAGTAGTGAGCCGTGAAATGGGGAAGATGGATTGAAATACGATCGATTAGAGTCAATTAACCTCCCTAGACTACCCAGTTGGCTAATATTCATTTACGCTTGCCGCATACTTATCTTGAGATGAAAATAAAGTCTTAGTGGAAGATCGGGAAGGGGCATTTCCTAAAATATCTAGATTAGTTTGGAGCACAAAGACAAGACACTCTATACCAATTAGTATTTCCCAATAAATTTACTATCCATGGGCTACAGTAACCATAAACTTCTTAACCCACAAGCCCTAACTTAAATATCATCTAGATAGATTCACCCAAGAGCGGATATAAATGTACAGAGTCATCGACAATTCGGTAGCATCTAATTTGCCATCAGCAACATATTGTAGAATTAGATGATATACAGATCTCCTAGTGCATTGGACAATTTTCCAATGTCATCGCACGCCTCCTGCTGAAGATGACATTGTCCTATGAAGAGGAATTGCTTCGTCCCTTGACCATGTTGCTTGCCATCAACCTCTCGAAACACAAAGGGGACATCAGAACCAACACAAATATAAACGTAGTCCATGATTTGGGCGTCATCGGGAGCAATCCCCATATACCCTGTAGCTGTAATGAAGAACCGACGAGAATGGCAAGCTCTTAATACATCTTAAACATATACCTGCATAGAGCGACCTAACTCTGACGCTGCTATATAGAATAGAATGTCTTCGAACGGCAATGCATCTTCTCCAAACACCTATTTGTCGCTTCTCAGGGAGGCCATCCTGCGCACTTCATTTGCCAAACACGCCTCATAATTTTGTTACCACCAGTCACGCCAACACCACGTAAAACAATTGTAAACGTGGTCGACGACCTGTTTCTCGTTGTTAGCTGCCGAAACAGCGAAGGAGATTCGTTCTAGAGACTCAGAACGTGTTACTCCTTCAACCCTTTTGTTTACATGCCCCTACGCTCATCCAACTTGAAGTCTCATGCTCATGGTTTTACCGTTGCAGCTAGCCGCAACATGTGCACTTATCGAAAACGGAAGCTCTACTGGCAATTGAGTATTTTTTGGGTCGGTTGAACACCAAATTTCAACAGTTGTGAGATGTTACGTGCAACCGGAGCTGAAAATATGAAGGTTCGCACCATCATCATGGATCCGTTGGCATTTCTCATATAATTCAATTTCACACATTGACTTGCACTGGAAATGGGACGCGTCGCTTCAGGAGTACAAGGGCTCTAAACAATGATGAATGACTGTAAATCTTTGGGCAACCACATCTACATACCGCCTTGATGTCTTCACTGTGAGATGGAAGATGATGGTAGGCTGCTAGGATCATACACATCTCATCACAAGGTGGCGAGCCTCGTCTGACTCAATCCGCCGTAAGAACTCGCCAGCTCGAACTTCCACCAGAAACGCAGCCCCGACTCTTCTATAGCCCGACCCGTCAACATTATGAAGCAACAACATCCCATAACACCATGCTGGCATCGATTTCCCGCTGTGGATAACTGAAGCAATAGGTACACACATAACTACCGTCTGTGCCTCCAAGGATCGATCGAGGTATACTTCGAGCTTCGCATTAGTTCCGTCTTTATAGTATAAGTTGACTTTATTCTTTTCGCCATCTCCCCCTTCTGGAATCACACTCATTTCAAGTGTTCGCCCTCGTAGCTCAAGTACAGAACTAGCGCCGGCGCCGTGTAATTGCAATTCTACCGCGGGAAACGGTTTATAGTCGCTGGGCCAATTCAGCGGCCATAGACTAAGCCATGACCATGATGGAAACGTGCCAGATGGGACTGCGCTATAAGAGAACTTGAGCATTGGCTGTTGGCTCTCGTTCCAGCCAGGATGCAGTGTTTTGTGCCAGAGCAACTCAGTACCAAGCTGGCTGAGGACGTGGCCACTGCTGTCAATGTCGCCGATCACATGCCTCAGCATCGAGGCTGTACCGAGCACTGCCTTCCGGCGGTCATTGGGATAAGTAAAGTGCCTCGTCGAGTAATGCTCACGAATAGTCCTCCATCGGCTAATGAGCATGTCTTTAGTCATGTACTCCCACGCCGGCTGGCCTGGAGGAACTATGCCATTAGTCTCTGTATACTTCCTAACGGCACTACGGAAGTGATGAGCGTCTCTCATATCCGTCCTCGGAGCTACGCCGCATTCTACGGCTGGCTCTGGGTGTCCGCACCAGAATACCATGCGGCGGCGGCTGAACTCGAGAGTGCGTGTAGATAGTATCTGCTCCTGGAAAGTCCAGCCACGCCACATGTAACATGTCGTGTCTGCGAAAACTCCGTGCTGTTCTTCGTATTTCTCGTAATTCCTGTCTAGAACATCCCAACAGCCGATATTAAGAGTACCGTTCACCACACAATTGATGTTCTCACCGCTCAACCAATTTCGTGGATTAGACATGCCTGGCAACCCGCTATCTGAGGATTTGCCTCCTCGTGCAACAATAGTGAGGGTCGCCAAGCCGTATATACGATCCATCTGTGCCAATTGGATCTCAAGGTCCGACGGTGAGTCTTGAACTATGCAAAGCGCATCGACCCACAGATAGCGGTGCCCCAGGGTGAGTGTCACGTCCATGGCGTCTCTGATCGTCAATGGCAACCTCGGATTGTCATCGATGGCTGTCAGTCCTGGAAGTTTCCTCCGAAAGTCTTCGAGCGTGGCGGAAGTTGTCCGTAACTGGTAGTCAACGCCCCAAACATAGCTGAGGGCCACAAATTTGAAGGGCGCCGAGTCTATTTCGCCAAGAGAGACCAGGCATTCAGAAACTGTGTCGATGAATCTTGTGGAAGGATGAAGTGCCTCCGAAGGTACTGCAGGGACAATGGGCTGACAGTTTGCATGATGCATGTCGCAGTCTTCAATCCAGCTCCTAGCAAGTCCAAGGCCCGCCCAGGCTGAAAGAACTCCATTTTCTTTATGGCTAGGTACATGATTCAATCTGCATATACCCTCAGAATGGCTGCTGTGGAAATAGAACGCCCTTTTGACTTCATCATCGTACCAAGTGTCTAGGAGTGTGGTTTGAGCAATCTTCAAATTGCAATGATGTTCATCCGATGATATTGAGTCAATATCGTCGACTGTGAGCTTTATTAGATGCCGTGATGTTGTCTTTTGCAGCGTCGCCTTTGGCGGATGGTAGATCCAATAGAGATTGGTCGTGAGGTACTCCAGATATGATCCTCGAACCAGGTCACAAAGTCTGCATTTATCTCTGTTTTGAGCGTCTGCATCGAAATAAAATATGGCTCCAGAAACGATGCTGGAATAGGTGATGGAGACGCAAGACGAACATGGGCTCATGGTTTGACAGGTTGGCGGGTCCGAGGTATTGAACTGGCTCCAAATCTTTTGGTGTTTAATATTCCAGAAACAGACAGCTTTACTGTTTTTTCGACTGATTACAGATTATGGTAGCAGATATGCATCAGTACCCAATTAGAAAAGAGTATGATGCAATGAATATGCATTCTTTGAGCTATTTTCCATGTTGGTTGCCGATCATCCAGTGAGGGGCTGGGCATGTCATAAAGCGTAGATACATCTGCATGCAGAGCGAAGAAGTCGAGCCCATTTCATTTGTACTCAAACTCCATTAACAAAACCGCCGCCCCGCATCTAAATAGTAAAGCTTCTAAATCTATGCCAAAGACTTTTCGACTTCCTTCTTCAAATCCTCATTAAACTGATTCCAAGAGCTTGGGTTGATTTCCCGAGAGCTCCACAAGGGCGAAGAGAGAGTGATTAAAATCCCCCTCAAGTTCTCTTTATGGATGAATGTAGTGCCTCCTGGATTTAATCCACTTGATGTAAAATGAAATTGATGCACGCCTTTCATAAGCCCCAGCAGCGATCCCTCCCACTGAAAAGAATCGGTCGAGTTTTCCTTCTGTGAGTTAGTATACTTAATGCTATTGTAATAACAAACGGTTGACCTACAACGACAATTGGTTGCATCGAAGTTCCGCCCATTTTGACCTTGAGTCCATCACCAAGCTTCAAGTCCAATGGCTGCTTAGCAGAGTCGGCTGGTTCAAATTTCCATCCATGCTGCCATTGTGTATACCGAGCGAAGTCTATGAACTAAAAGCAATCTTTGATGTTAATGCATTGTTCTTCACGTTAACTCTCCGGCTGCTATATATAAGGTAGACACGTACCACTGATCGAACAGCTGCTGGCGTTGCTGCGATCTCAATTTGTGTAGAAACAGTCAACGTCGGGCTCATGGCTGTGATAACTATACCCGCTAAGAACTTATTGTAGAGTACTTCACCTAGCAATAATCTAGTAGCGTAATGGATAATATTAAAGTAAGGCTTGATTTAAACACATTTCATGCTTGGTAAAGGATCTCCAGCCTTTAATAATGCGACTTGGTTCTACTGTAAGTCAGCCCCCAAATTGGGGATGCGTTCTACGTGGAGACGACCTTCGGAAACGGATGATATGGTCAGCACTATTACAAAGCCAAGGAGTCATTGATCAATGCCAGATTTTTATATGTGCTTTCTGTAATGAAAATGACTTGATGAGAAGAATGTCGAGATTCAGTGTCAGCCAAGACGGGCGACTGGATCTCCGAACATCTTTTAGTGTCGGAGTTGGGGTGGGTATCATTGCCGGAGTTCCGGTGGGCCTGTCCGGGAGCTCATTCATACATAGGGAAGTAAATAAGCTTATTACTGCTAGCACGCGGCAACGGCAGATTAATGAAGCCGTTGGAAACGGAGTTCCGATTTGGCGGGATGATGTTGACAGCCAGGTATATGAGATGAGAGCTGTCTGTCAGTACCTTAAGGTTACATACATCAGGTACATATATTTAGACACATTCGTCATCATATAACGTAATTCTTGCAGCACTATAAACAAAGGATGGTATATTTAGCTAGACAGCATTCTGTTAAATTCACATCCTGTTGTATCGATTGGATAGAATATCGCAAATGGCAAACAGCGTCACGCTCTGGCATAACTAATTCTCTGCCACATCTGTACTACAGAACGAGGAAGAGAGTTGGAAGGAAACGATCTCGCCGGTAGGGGATCGTCGACCAGTAGAACTAATTGACGAAGGCCCTGTTTTATCGATATAGATGGCTCACAAAGCTCACTATTGAGACCAGGCAAGGAATTAGTTCTTTTATTATTTTTGAAGCTGGTGAAACTTTTCATAGCCCACACCGGTTGTTTACGGGGCATGCAATGCTCATGCAGTCCATCGCGTCAGGCATTTAGCTTTTACTGGAGATTAAACTCGTATGCTATAACTTATTGCTGACATTAAGAAGTGCGCCAGTGTATCTATCTATCTAAACTGAAAACAAAATAGTGTGTAAGGTAAAGCTGCATGTTCACACTAATACGTTGCTCCTTCAAGATTTTGATGTAATTAAACCTAGGTTATAGAGTGGAATAAGTCGGATCCAGTATCGCATTACCACCAGTGTCCTCGAATGAAGGTGGCGATACTAAGGATAAGATGTGCTATGTATGTCTTCAAATTCAACATTTTGTTGCGTTAAAGGAATCGTTACATCTTTGTTGGTCTCGGCATTTTTATGCTCATGATTGTCATGAAAAATAAAGCCCGGGCGCCCGATACAGAGGCAAAAGACGGTGAATATAACCAATCTAGAGGCGTCAGAAACGTCTTGCGGGCTTTGAGGACAATGACCAACACTTACACTCCCTCTAGTCCAATAAAGAGTCCTTCATTCTTGACAGTAGATCCGTCATATCCATCTTTCAGTTCGTCGGCGCGAAAGATGCACCTGACTAGGGTGCTAAAACAGACGCAGACAAGAAGCCAACAAAAAGCTTCTCCCGTAGCCCATGCACTTGCCCTTTGGACGATCTCGCATATCTAAATAGGAAGTCTCCGAATATACCACAGAATATAACCAGCGTAATGACTTGGAGAATTTATCCAGCCAATGCAATGTTGACGCCAGTTTGGCTGGAGCCAGACGATGATGCGGACAAGGCACCACCAGCTCCCTGAAGCGCAAGTGAAGTGACATCAAAAGGAACAAAGATCCAGATCAAGACTTTTGTAGGGAAACGCGCCAACGACGGAGACAAATGATCGATTCTATGCCCAATCAGTAAGATTTCCGCTCGACTCCGAATGCAACAACACTTACGTTTGATGCAGTGTGACATATATCGCCGCGCAATAAAAGACTGGTGCCTGCGTGATGCAAACTTTACAGTTGATTAGGGACCCAAAGTAGACAAGATGGACTTCAGCTCATGAATAGAACGGGCGAGGATGGTGCTTACTGATTTGAATGATGAAACCGACGAAACTCCATGGGTTATTCCACATGATGATGCGCCCGACGTAGCCCGTGATCTCATGAAGACAGGATAGAATTAAACACCACATAAATGTCCAAGTTTTCCATCGCATGCCGAGATAAGCGTGGGTTAGGGTTAGGCGAGCGTGAAGAGTCCAGCGAATATAACATTTGCGGCTAGTGATGGTCGGTAACCGTAAACACTCTCGTCGATGCTACACAACTTTGTTACATGTCAGCAGATGTCGGCTCTCTAGCAATGAACAAATAGCATTTACTTCTAGAGTACAATTAGCATTTGGGCCGAAATGAATAAAATAGTCTTGTTCCGCCATGTTAACGGAAAGGAAATCGGTTCGTACAGAATGGAAGTAAAAGAGAATGAATGAGTAGGGAACTGCTCAGGTCTACAATGAAACACAGTCAGGTCTGCTCAAGGGGATGTATTTGTACTCGTATTGCAAGATCCAAAGAAGATAATATTAACGAGAAATTCGCCGATAGGCACGAGTTCGCGGCATGAATCTTACTTTCCACAATCAACCCTGCCCCGATGATCTGTTCCTTTAGCAAACCTCACCCTTTTCAGCTAGTCGGGTGAGAACGTACGAGCTGGCTTCCTTGGGGACAACGATGTTCAGCCTGCGGATTTGCGTGGCTTAGCGACGGATTCTGCACAAATCACCATTTTCAACAACGAGACGTTTGCTAGTACCTCAGAGCTGAGAGCATTGGGAAAAACTAAGTGGGGATGTAGTGGTTGTTTTCGAAGGCTCCTTAATTAGTTATAAGATTTCTCTCTTATCCCTGCATTCATAAACCCACCCCATATCTATTTAAGGCCTGGAAAGCAAGCATGATTGGCTGGCTCGCAAGGGCTTCCCTTTTCCATTTCTACTAAGTTTAGGGCTGATGGGTAATAGCCCCTGGTCGATGGCGATCCCCTAGGACAGCCCAACATTAGCATCTTAAACCCAAACCTTGGCCTCTTCTGTCTCCTGAATTAGCCCACTACGCACCATGTTGAAGCATCTTTCAATATACTTGGGTGTGGATAAGAAAGTATGGCACCACCGTCTGAGGCAATAACGTTAAGTGATACGCTCTTTTACATTCTACATGTCCGAGATGAACAACAATATAGGGTGCTACAGCGAAAAGGTTGGAGTTGCATTTCCTTGAGCATGTACAACATGGCCCAAACCATCTCGGGGCAACAAGAGCGGCCAAGCCACGCCAACACTACGGTCGCCGATTGGGACAGCATCGATAGCCCAAGCAATCCGAAGAAAAACTTCTTTAAATGGCAGATGGATTACTGTTACATGTAGCTCATTCTGTGTGTTAGTTACATGTATATTGCCACCATCTTCCTTGGCGAGTACTACAACGAACCGTTTCCGGCTCCATGTAACTTGCAAAACGTGCATATTAGCATTGTATTCTTCTAGTTGCGGACACATAATCGGTCAATTCCGTGTGTCTGAGTTGATTGGAACGTTGGGTTTATCGCTATATATCTTTGGCATGGACTGCGGGCTAATGGTTTTTGCGCCCATCTCGGAAGTAGGTGAAGTAATTTGACAGGTAGCAGCCGTTGTGCCTCAAGCATCAGTCGATGCCTGATGGGAGCAGGCTCATGATGGCCACATTGTCCGTTTACCGAAGCTATATTCGCCAACTCGCTCAACTAAACCATCACCCAACTGGGATGCATAAGAGCATCTTTGATCTATGCCGCAAGGCCAAAAAGGAGCAGAGAGAGCTTAGCATCCCCGAATGCAAAGCAGCGCTGTCCGAGATTCTCAAGTCCTATCCACGAACTACCTTGGTACTCGATGCTCTTGACGAATGCGAAGTAGATGCTCGGAAAGAAATTATTCTTGTTCTGCGCAGTCTTGTTACGGATGCCGAGCGCCCAGTCAAGGTATATATCGCAAGTCGCAGAGAACCCGACATTGAAAGAAATCTGGGTTCTGAAAATTTGATCGAAATTGGCACCTCCAATAACAAGTATGATATCGAAAAGTACATTGAACAAGAGATAACTCAGTTTGGTGAAGAATGAGAATCTGTTTCACAAGGTGTCAGAGAAGAGGTCAAACGCATGATCACCGATCAAAGTGATGGGATGTGCGTATTCAACTGTTGCTTCATTTATTTCAGCCATTACCTGCTGATATCTACCTCTAAATACCCAGGTTTAGATGGGCATATCTCCAGCGGGAGCAGCTCAAGAAATTTAAAACCGACGAAAGTATACTTGGGCGACTAGGGAAGCTTCCCAAAAGACTTGAAGACGCTTACGACGAGATTTATTCCCAAAATGAAGGATATGAGTTGGTCATTTTGCAGCGGGCAGTCAAATGGGTCTTGTGCGCTGCAGAGCCACTTTCAAACGACGTGCTCCTTTGGGCCATTCGACTGGAAACCCAGACAGACAGCAAGGCTGAAGCAGCCCTCAGACTGTCAAGCCCTGTTACACAATCCACATTGGAGTCAATCTGCTGCAACTTGATTGTCCGGGATTCTGAGCTGGGGGTGTGGAAAGTCCCCCATGCGTCAGCCGCGGAATATTTTGAGGGTAGACACAAGGACTGGACGGCCAAGGCACACAAAGATGGGACAATCGTGCTAATTTCGTATTTGATCGACTGCTACTCGGAGTGGAGAATACCACAATGGAAGTATTCGGGTCTACCATCATGTAAACTGGACCTTGATGACTATCTCAACCTTGAACATCCGCTTCAAGATTATGCAAGGAGGTTTTGGGTGCTGCATGCGCGCAGCGCGTCGGACTACCACCGAGTATCACCAGTTTTATACAAGACCCGGCGGTGCACGATACGCCTTTACTTGCGGCATCGCATAGGCATCAATACCGCTACGCACGCCGTTGCTGTACTGTGGTTAAAAAGTGTCAATATACAATCTCGTTATAGACTCTCTGTCGCTGAATAGAACTTGGGACATGTCGCTTCACGAAACGGCATGTCCTGTTTTGTGACACACGCATCTCTTGACTCGGCTTATTAGCGAGTTACAAAAACACGATTCATGCAATGTCCGACACCCCATCCAAACATATCGGGAAAGACAACGAATCACGTTTTCGATAGCCCCATTGGCATAAAGATGTAGAGATTACCTGTAAGCGGATGCATGTGCTGTACCACTAGACTTGGTTGAAGACAAAGGGAGTTTTTGGAATAGAAGAATCATTTTGGCAAAACAAAGTAATGATGCAACTCTCTTCGTATCTATATCTATTTGCTTTACTCTATAAGATCCCAAGTAGAAACAGATATATATACTCCACTGCCGTGAGACATGTGTTCTACTACTCTGAACTATCTGTAATCTGTTCCTTCAACACCCAAGCGTTACAGAAGTATGTTGTTGAGACGGGAAACCGATGTCGACGCGGTAGTTTCAGTGTCATCTCTCCTCCGAAGCATCACGCTTACTCGTCGTCGCTGTCGGCCTTGCACTGTTCAGAGCATTAGTCTTACCGAAGGGACATGCGAGTGGGACAATGGAATTGGGAGGGAAGTTTTGTTACTCACCCACAGATAGGCGGCATTGCAGCTGCTCACGCAGTAGATGTAGCCAAGTCCAGTAGGTCGGCACTTGACAACGCAAGTGTCTCGCGTATCAGAGCATGCAGTTCGGGGCTCGATAGTTCGGGGCTCGACGGCAGGGGCCTGAGGAAGGGCAGCAGCCAGGGGAATGAGAGCGAGGACAGCAGAGAACTTCATCTTGAAGGATTGATGTTGTTGTTGTTGTTGTTTTTTGTTATTGTTTGTTGTGCTTGTTGAGGGTGGAGGAGAGTCAGTATGATGAGATGAGAGGAGAGGAGAGGAGGGAGAGGCCGTACATTTATAGACGAAAAGAGGATGAATGGATTCCCAAATAGCATGCGCTTTGTAGTATGTGCCTTCATAGCACGTGCTTTGCGTGAGCTATTAAGAATGCAGAAGCCGGGGTTTATCTTTGGTCTAGATGGGGAGGAGTTGTGGTGGGATTGTATGGTGGTTTGAGCGTTTGCGGATCAGGGCCGTGAGTTGAACCGGTGAGTATTCGTGACGGCCTACAATAATATAGTACAATAAGAACAGCTGATTTCAGAGATACGAGGTTACAGTTCAGATAAGACTAGTTTTGGCCCTTTTGTTTGGCTTGTAGTTTTAGGCAGCGTAGTTTGAGTTGTCAACGCTCTCTGCCACTATTGACGTCTAGTATTCTTGCGCCATCTACATATTCTTAGAGTATCGAAATGTTTTTTTTACCAGCCTCGCGACATTTATCCAGCAGCAGCACATTCTTCTAGAATCGCTCCATTTCTCCCCTCAATCGTCTTATCTCTCGTAAAACGTGCTGACAATGGAGCCATTAAACATTGGGGCAATTGGGGCGCGTTTCGAGGCTCGAGCCACCATGGCGCTCATGCTCACGACTCCTCCCCCATTGTCCTCCGCAAAATTTCTATTGGGGTGAATATGGCCCTTGCGCTGCCTTGCTGGCTTTTGCCACCTTGGGTTCCGGTCAAGGAATGTATAAACGAGAACCAATCGTGCATCCCCGTGATCTTCCGGCGGTATGAAACTCGTCATCGTCACAACGGGTGCACTGACGTTACAGTTGAGAGATTGTCTCATTCACCGTAATCGGCTCAGTTGAATCTCTCTGTTACGATCCGTTTATTCCTCTAGTATCGCTGTCTTTCTCTAGTATTGCTATCTTCTTCTACTACCGCTACCCTCTTTTACTATCTCTACCTTCTTCTTGTATCACTATCTTCTTCTAGTATCGCTATCTTCTTCTAGTATCGCTATCTTCTTCTAGTATATATTCGGGAATTGGCCGTTCAATAAATTCCTCCGATGCCCTTATGATTCCTGAAAAGTTGGACAAGGGGACATTCGGGAACCAAGCGTGCTTCTGTCCCCTAATCCACTCAGGACAGGCTCAGGTAAATCTGTGAGCTCGTTCCAGGCATTCGAGGAGCCCAATGTGCCCATAATCTCCACAGCCGGCGGTATCAAGCCCACCAACTTGCTGTTACTGTGAGCCTGGGCGCCAAAGTAAACACCCCAAGCACCCCATTCCGCCGATTTGTCCAGTTGTCCGGCTTCGTCTTTATCTTGATCAGCCTGAATAACTGTCGGTAGTCGGTCTTCCTTTCCCAAAGTCTTCCCAAATAGTTGAATCTCGTCGAGATGTAGATGAGACGAAACACAACCCATCCATATCTTATCCTGAAACCACCTGTCTACCCAGCGGACAGCACCACAAAACATTGGGACAGTAGCCTTCATGACCTTATCTTGTCACAATGCAGTTGTGTTGGGAGAAGGTGCATTGGTCTTTGGTCACGGGACCTATGTGTATATAGATCCCCTCTGTTGCCATAGAGGCTAGCTACACTTAGCTTCATCATCATCACAATACAGTCATCGGCAACACCTCTTCCTGATCCCTCTTCAATACAAGAAATGGCATCCTCGATTCGACCATGGACGTCGAGGGCCTTGTTGGACTTAAAGTCAGCCGACAAATAACCCACGAAAGCATACTACTTCTCGCCGGTCCAGCGTTAACAGGAATCCTGGATCCTCTCATTCGACAGATCGTCGATGAACAACTTGCCGCCGCTGGGCTTAACGACCTTATTGCCCTTGTTCAATAGACTATCGATGAGCAACTCGCTGCCGCTAGATTTATCGCGCCTGATGGCAACTCTGTTGCGGATAGCTCCCGAGAGGAAGTTAAGAATCAAATTAACAACGACGACAGAAACTACGATATTTAAGCACCCTTATTACCGTTAACTAATAATTGCCACTTTTGTATTTCTTTTTTTTCTTTTATACTATAACTTTACTTAGGCGTTTTGGGTTCTTTATAGATAGTATAAAATAGGGTGTTTTTTTATTCTCTTAGGGCAGTAGGTAATAATAAGTATCAAGTTCTTTTTTGGGGGGGTTTATTAATTTCTTATAGGTAATAAAGGATCTTTATATAGTAACTAAGCACCTCTGGGGGTGTGTTAGGAGAAGGTGTATCAGTTTTTGGTTACAGGACCTATGTGTATATAGATCCCCTCTATTGCTATAGAGGCTAGCTATACTTAGCTTTATTATTATTATAATACAGTCATCGGCAATACCTCTTCCTGATCCCTCTTCAATAGCAGTAACGTTGCCTCGAGATTGGTAGAACATATGCTGGGGGTGGCTAGCAGCCAACATGATACTCCGAAAACGATATCTAGGGGTCTGCATTACCATAACAAGACTCGCAGTCAAGCAAGAGAACTGCGCCTTCAAAATCTCCCCATAAAGGCAGGATCTCAACCTTTTGAGTCTGTAGCATTCTTTCTCGGAGCTTTTCGCCGTATATAATCTTAACTTTTGCTTCCATCGATTGGGGAATATTCGACGTATAGCCTTCATGGCTGCTAAGCAATCTTTCGGGATAAATCTCAATGCCCTCTGATCGGGCGTCTCGTCGGTGTACATGGTCGAACACCAACGTATCGTGCGTATATGTATTTCCCATCACCGTGTCCAAACAGCCATTCAATCGATCAGCCGTTTCTTCATTCTCGCGGTGGTCCATCGTGAATGATGGCTGGTTAAGGCGATGCGCCAATGGGGACGTCAATGAGCCCGGGGTTTCACAAGAAGCTCGGGCGACGGCGATTGTTGAAGCACAGGCGGGAAGATATCCGACTCCAAACTGGAAATCCATGAATGACTTGTCCAAGTCTTTGATCGGACGGTCTCACAAGTCTAAAATATTCATATAGTTAGAATATGATGCCTCGAAGTATGACACGGCTGAGTGCAACATTACCTTCCATATTCCGAGCGTTTAGCTTGGCAAGACGCGGCTCCCATTTCTCCGCCCGATGTTTGAGCTCTTGGGGTGGCCGTGAAAGCACCAAACTTCCAAGAACAGGACAAGAGTCCGCATTGTCTGCCTCGCTGGCTTGTTCTTCCACTTGTTCGGAGGCGTGCTGCTCAGGTACCGTAGCACTTAGGTCAGGGTGATGACTTGCGCCAGACCTGTACAGGCGCTCTTCTTGTCCTGGAAGAGATCATGTTCAACGTGTAAATTCCTTCTCTGCCGTCTAGAGTACCAAATTGGTCAGCTTGAGACTGCTGAAGAAATCGGAAATGAAGACACAGCTTACCATCTGCATTGCTACAGGTTTGTCCTTCATATATGCAATTGGTGCAACGTCCATACTGCAAGCAAGCCTTCGATATGAGCACACCCAACAAACGGAACATTTCCTTGCAGACAAAACCACATGGGTCATTATTGACATCGCCTCGCTGATGGATAGCACCAGCAATCTTGTGTTGTATCCCATGGATCTTGACATTTGTTTGGTAATTGTCTGATCTGAAAGTCAAGTCACGTTGAAAATCGTGCTGAAGGATCCGACTCGATGATCTTTTGAGAAAGCAAGAAAAAGAAAACATTACCTTCTCATAACCAATAGTAAACGCAGCTGCAGCTTGCAGCATAAGGAAGATCACCCAGATACAAAAGTGATCCACAATATTTTTGAACAGCGCTAAGTTTGGAGATAATATTCGGCAACTGAATATAAGTCAATGAAGAAAAGGAGGAGAATATAAGACGCTGTCAAATAGCTAAAGTTGTGGCTAAGCTCCAGTTGCTACCTAGTGTGCAAAGGGGAGATATTACGCTTTATATATATATATTCTCTCTTCCCTTTTTATTTCTCTCTCTTGTTTTTTTTTATTATTCTATCATCTTTTTGGGGGGGTCCAAATTAATAGTAAGGATATAGGCATCTGCAGTTCTATTAGTATTTAGTGTAACATCAAAAATCAGCGACTAATACTTTTATTTCATACCAAGTAGCCGCTCTAGTATTAGTTCACACAAAGTAGCTCCCCTTGTATGAATATTACCCCCCGTAGTATTTAGGTAATTGAACTAATATTAGGTTTCTATTTTGAGCAGCTAATTGCATTTATCAGTTCCTCAAGTTGAGGTTGTTATATTGGAAATAGAGTGTGTTTAGCTTAAACGCTATATAAGAAGGCTTTTGCGAAATTTATGGCAACTAAGTGTTTAAAGCTATCGTGGCCGAGTGGTTATGGCGATGGTTTTAAGTTTACTAGACTAAACACCATTATCGAAAGATGCAGGAGTTCGAACCTCCTCGATAGCATTCTTTTTGTCCTACATTTTGCATATTTATTTATATCTTTTTGTATTAGTTTCACTATATAATATGGAGAAATCCCCTCTTTTTTGATCCTATTTACAAGTCAAAAGGACTTCGTTTGGTCTGTAAAATGCGAAAAGAACATCTGAAGCAGTTAGAGGAATCTTCGATTCAAAGTATACAGAGAGCTTATTCTCTACCAAGCGCTTCAGCTGTAAAACGCAATTTATTCTTCCTTGGCTCTTGAGATGAGCTATCCAAATCTGGTTTATAATATAACTTTCAGTGCTCTTAATCGTGGACATTTGGGCGGACTAGAGCTCGGTTTTTAGGTGGCAACCAAGGGCTTAAAAAAGCGTCATAAATCTCCCAGTCTTACAGCTGCTGTGTATTACAAAGAAAGCCTTGTTGCTATATTCCCATTCATACTCCTGTTGCATTTCTATACTAAGGCTGTTATATTTACGTTTGGAGCATAGATGTAAATATTGTATGCTCTTCTATTGGAAAGAGAGCACTAAGAAGAATGTGAGGAAAACTAGGCCAAAGATCCTTGGGATTTGTCTCCAATCTGATCCGGCAACAATATATATTTATAGATAAAGGACCTTCTTTATTTACATTTTAGAAATGAAAACTTTTGTGGCCATCTACTCCTTCCCCACCACCGCATCATAAGCATCGCTGAAAAGCGGCTTAATACCCGTCCAAATCTCAAACTATAGACAAAGAAAAAGCATTAGTTCCAAAAACTCGATTTAAAGAAAAGTACAAGTCAAAGAGGGGGTTTACATACTTGATACCAGCCCTGAGCAGCAAGAACCTCCAACCCAGAAATCGTCGTCCAGTTACCAGCACTCTCCGCAATCTGAATCACAGGGGTGCGGGGAGGGTTGTAGGCCATTTCCAAGAGAACGCGGCTCTCGCTCTGAGCAGCAGTTGTAGACTTGAAGATGGCGCCGAGGGTCTCCTCAACTCCTGAATCGAGAGGCTTGTCGGCAGGGACGGTGCTAATGCTGACAACGGGCTTGCTCGCGAGTTTCTCGGCATCAGCGGGGCTTGCAACGGGTTGGACACCGTACTCGGCCGGGAAACTCGATGCAAGGCTCTCAACCTTCTTGGCGTCTCGGCCAACGAGGTAGATGGGCTGGAAGCCAAGCGAGTGCAGGGCGAAGACGGCGGCGCGGCTGGTGCCTCCGGTTCCAATTACAGCAGCGCTGTCATTGCCAGTCTGCTTGACACCAGCCTTGCGGAGAACATGGACCATGCCTTGCCAGTCTGTGTTGTCACCCGTGAGTCGCTTACGGCCATCCACAGACTTGTCAGTCGCGGGAACAATAGTGTTAACAGCACCAATGATCTTGACCGCATCAGTCAATTCATCCAGATGAGGTATGATGTCCTGTTTCAAAGGGATGGTAACTGATGCGCCGCCAAACTCGGGGCTGCGCAACACCTCCAGCACATCCTCAACCTTATCCGTCTCCAGGAGCTGGTACTCGTGAGGCAAGCCCACCTGACCAAAGAGCGTGTTGTGGAGAGCTGGCGATCGCGACTTGGAAATCGGCTTGCCGAACAAGTAAAAGTTTTGCGGCTCAATCTCGCCCAGAAGAGCCAGGCCCTGTCGAATCTCAGCCGCGGACAACTGTCCAGGAGCAGCCTTGAATGGAAGGGCAGGATGTGAGACGGGGGTCAAGAATCCGTTCAACACACGACTGAGCTTTCCGGCAGAGCCCATGTTGAGGGCAATGATGGGCGTTGGCTGAGCTGCCAGCATCCTAGACTTGAAACGGATCAAGTCAAAGTTGTCCTCGACGCTTCGAGCAGTGCCAACCAGCTTAATCACATCGCCATATTGTAGAGCTCTGTTGTAAGCAGACACCCAGGACGCATTCTTCCACGACAGAGCACCAGCAGGGTCATGGTGAGATGTGATGATGACGGTATGTCCTCGAGAATCTCTGACCTCTTGAATGATCTCATCAGACAATGTTACTTCCAGGTCAATGTACTCCACGCCCATCCGGAGGGCCAGGCGGTAGAGCGCACGACGCAAGTCGTTGTTGTCATCAGGGAATTTGCCACCTTGAGATTCACTTCGGACGGTGAAGATGATGGGCTTTCCGGTAGCATGTCTCAGCAAAGAGACTTGTTTCATGACGGCCTGGGGCTGCTGGTCTTGCAAGAGATCAACGCGGAGCTCCACGGCATCACAATCAGCAGTAACGCGAGGCAAAATGTCCACAGCATCCTTGAGGTCAGGAAGTGTTAATGACACAAAGAAGCTCTGTCTCTTTTTGGAGACGGTTTCGAGAGTCTTGGACCTTCCAGAGATCAGGGAAACGAAGCTTGTGAAGTCGTCGGGGATTTCAGTCTCCCCTACCAAAGGAGAGTCCTGCGAGTGCGGGCTATAGTACAGGAAGTTGCTACACTCTCTATACCAGGGCCTTCTGCGTTCAAACACCTCCCTGATCTCGTTGGTATATGCCGGCCGTGTCTTGTCCTGGGTCAAGTAGTCAACGACCTGATCGGTATCTCGCTGGACAAGCAGAACAAGGCCACCATTGGCGCCGTACGACTTCAGGACTTCTCGGGCAGCCGGGGTCTCGACGATTCCACCTCCACATGAGAAGACGTATCCATTGGGATGCGCCTCGATAACGTCATGCAACAGCGCCAATTCGTCTTCCCGGAATCCTTCCCAACCACGAGGGCCTCCAACCATCTCCGGAATCGTGATGCCAGCTCGGCGTTCAAGCTCGTGGTCCAGATCAAGGAATTTCCAGCCAAGTGTCTTGGCAACCCACTTGCCAGCAGTTGTCTTCCCGGCGCCTCTCATACCAACGACAAAGATGGAGCGCTGAAGACTAGTAGCATTTTTGGGCTTGATCCCACGGCTGCTCTCCGTATCCACGCCCTCGAGGCTGGCCTGGAAGGACTGAGCAAGGACGTCCCACCATCCTGGCCAAGTCTTGCCAACGCACTCTCGCTCAGTCACCAAAACAGGACCGGGAGCGGCAAGTGACAAGACACTGAAGCTCATCGCAACACGGTGATCGTCGTAGCAGTGAATGCTCTCGGTCGGCGTGATCAGGCTTTCCCTTGACTTGCCGGTGATCTGGATGCCATCATCCAGCTCCGTGCAGACCACTCCGAACTTGGCAAGCTGATCCTTCATCGCCAGAATACGGTTGCACTCCTTTACTCGCTGGTTGGCAATACCAACAATCTCCGTTGTTCCGGTCGCCACAGCGGCCAAGGCAGTGGCCGTGAGGAAAGCGTCTGTCATGGTCGTCATGTCAACGCTGGGAATAGCCTTGAGATTTCCAGACTTGGGACCCGTGACAGTAGTAGTGTAGTCATCTTGATGGACCTCACATCCCATAGGCTCGAGAATCTTGACAGCGAACTGGGCGTCGCCTTGAAGGGACTTGGAACCAATGTTGGGAATGGTGCAAGTGGTTCCAGTGATGGCAGCCACCGCAAGCGGGTAGGTAGCGGAACTGGCGTCGCTCTCAACGGTGTATTCGGCGGGATTCTTGTAGACACCTTGAGGAATGTGGTATGTGTCCGCCTCGGTGGTAGAAGGAGTGACCTCAATGCCAAACGACTTCATCATGGCGATGGTCATGTCAATGTATGGCTGGGAAATGGGCTTGCCTCCAACCAATCGCAATGTGACGGCCTTCTTGGCGTAAGGTGCAGCCATGAGAATGGAAGACACGTATTGGGAGGAAACAGTAGCCGCAAGCTCGATTTCGCCTCCCTCAAGGCCATTTGAGGCATTGATTCGGAGGGGAAGACTCTTTTCCTTTTCCACGTAGTCAATTGCAACGCCGTTGCTGCGGAGGGCATCGACAAGGGGGCCAATTGGTCGAAGCTTCATTCTCGCGTTGCCGGTGAGGATTGTAGCAGTAGCCGTGCTAGTAGGAGCGCACAGAGCTGCAACCGTGGTCAAGAAACGCGATGCGGTTCCTGCGTTTCCAATGTACAAAGGCTCGTCGGAGGCCTTGAGCTTGCCAGAGTTACCCTCGACAACCAAAAGCTGGCCTCCCTCCTCCCATGAATAAGAGGTGCCTCCCAGTGTCGAAATGGCTGACAGCATGAACTCGGTATCGTCGGAGTGCAGCAGGTTTCTAATTCGGCAAGAACCTGAGCCGAGAGCTGCGAGAATCAAAGCTCGGTTTGAGATACTCTTGGATCCAGGAGGGGTAATAGTGAGGCGAAGATCGGCAGGAATGCCAGGAGTAACCTCAACGGAGTCAGAGAGGACGATTCTGATGGACTTGTCATCAACCGAGCTTGCTTTCGCCTCGTGCGTCTTTCCAATGGCAGACAGCAACACGATTTTCTTTTGGCTTCCGTCATTCTTCTTGTCGACGGCCATCTTCTTAAGCAGTACATCAACGGGGCACTTCTTGCCCGCGGTCAAGTTGACAACTCGCTTGTCCTTGACCGAGGTAGGCAGTCCATAGGATGCAATGCACTTCTCCAATCTGGCGACCGCCTCCGGCCTCAAAACACCCAGGAATCGGGCCAGCTCAGCTTCCTTGACCATACCAATAGCCACAGCTTCGCCATGAAGAAGCTGGGGGGTGAGAAGCGCCTCAATAGCATGGCCAATGGAGTGGCCAAAGTTGAGCAGGTTTCGAAGTCCACCCTCACGCTCATCAGAAGAGACAACCTCTGCCTTGACTCGAGCAGAGCCAGTGACAATGCGCTTCAGCATATCCTTGATAGGCTCCAGTCGGTTCTGGCCCTTGGAGCGAACGCTCGACAAGATGGTTGCGGCCGACTCTTCCAAGACGGTGAACTCCTTCTCATCCCAAATAGCAGCAGTCTTGACAACCTCAGCCATGCCATTGATGAACTCGCGCACGGGGAGAGTCTCCAAGAAAGCAAGGTCAATGAAGATCCGGCGTGGCTGCCAGAACGCACCGACGAGATTCTTGCCCATGGGCGTGTCAATGGCCGTCTTCCCGCCAATGGATGAGTCAACCATGGCCAGGAGAGTCGTCGGCACCTGAACAAAGCGAACACCACGCATGAAAGTCGCCGCAACATAGCCAATCATGTCACCAATGACACCGCCTCCGACGGCAATGATGACAGTGTCCCGCGTACATTGATGGGACAGCAGCCAGTCCTCAATCTCCGCCTTGGTCTCTCTGCTCTTGGAAGCCTCGCCGGGAGGAATTGCGTACGTGAGCAGCCGGGCGGACTGGTTCGCTTTCGACGACTCGAATCGCTTCTGGAACGAAGGAACATAGGTATCGAAGAGGTTCGTGTCGGTGATGAGGACGTAGGTCGACGAGGCCAGATTCTGAGTCAGGTCCTGGACAATGTAGTTGGGCCACAGGGCATGGTCGACGACGATGTTTGGCTCGCCCAGGATGGAAATCGTCTGGGGAGGTGCTTTCGTTGCTTCCGCCATTGTTGGGCGTTGAAAGGCGATGCCGCCTCTGACCAATTTCTTTCAATGGGGACGGGATTCGCAAAAGACAACAAAAGTATTTAAAAAGGTTATTGTTGGAGTTTTCCTCCTCTGGCCAGAACCTAATTGGAGGTCAGAAAATCTTGGTGGGGTGAGTCTTAGTCGGGCTGTTATGCAGCTCATCGAGTCACTACCGATATCGGCAAATGGGCTAGCTCAGCTTAGCTTCCGGAATGTGACAGGAAGAGTGGACAGATCAGTGTGTTGTATTTTGAGAACTCGTGTAGGAAACTGACGGGGAAAAATAAGTCTCATTGCAATCACCATGACTTTTCTGAGTACAGTGGCGGGTAAAAATTTCCCCTCTTCCGATAATAATATACAAGTAAATATCTACCGCTACAGGTCATACATATCCCGGCCCCATGATACCCAATGGCCTGCTTATACGCTTCATTTACAATCGCAGCCTTCATAATCATAACCATATATCCATTATCAAAGGCGAGCATCCAAAGGACTCTCCTCTAAACCGATAGGCACCGCTGCAGATGACCCTTGGCGACGAATATAAGCCAGCAGCCGAATGCACCCAGAAGGCGTAATGCCCTCTGCACGACGAGCCTGCGCCAAAGTCTCAGGCCGCGTTCTCCTCAAAACTTCCTTTTCCGACAATGCTAACCCAGGAATGCTGTCGTAGTTCAAATCAAGCGGGAGGCGGATATTCTCATCATTGACAAACCGCCCACGCTCCGCCGCCTGCATCTTGATATAAGGTGCGTATGCCGCTTCAATGACAACCCTGTCTCGAATGCGAGGCGAATAGCCCATGACTTCAGGCACGATGGCGCTGAGCTGGTCCAGTTGGATTCGCTCGGCGGTATTGGAAAGTTTCAGCATGTCGATGCCGGTTCGGCGCTGAGAGCTCTTCTTCAACTGAAATCCCGCCTTCATCCATTCGTCAGGCGACAAAGAAACGGCACCAAGAGACTTGGTGAGATCTAGAATCTGTTGCTTCTCATCCGAGAAAGCGCTCCATCTGTGGTCCGAGACGACGCCCCATTCTCGTCCCTTTTCCGTCAACCGTAGGTCCGCATTATCTGCTCTGGCAGCCATGCGGAATTCGCTTCTGGATGTAAACATGCGGTAAGGTTCTGTAACACCCTTGGTGATTAAGTCGTCAATCATGATGCCAATGTAGCCATCTGACCTAGATAATGAGGCGCCTGGCAGTCCAAGGGCAGCTCGTCCAGCATTCATACCAGCTATAACTCCCTGGCCCGCAGCCTCCTCATATCCTGTAGTGCCGTTGATCTGTCCTGCTAGATAAAGACCACCAATCGCCTTTGTCTCAAGGGTGGACTTTAATCCCCGAGGATCAACATAATCATATTCGACACCATAGCCGGGTTGCAGCATTTTGACTTGTTCCAGCCCTTGTATCGACCGCAGCACCTGCTCCTGTGCCTCTGCTGGTATTGTCATAGAAAGTCCATTAGGGTATATGATTGGGTTGTCGAAACCTTCTGGTTCGAGCCAGACGATATGACGCTCTTTATCTGCAAATCGAATGACCTTTGACTCCAAAGAGGGGCAATACCTCGGGCCCTTGACGGTTTCGCGAATGTGTATTGATTTATCCAAGTTTTCACAGACAATCTTGTGCGTAGCCTCATTGGTGAATGTTATGCTGCAGGTGAGTTGATCTTGAACGGCCACCCGGTCATTTAGGTAGCTGAAAGGAGCTGGGGGGTCATCACCCAGCTGTCTTTGGAGTATGTCAAAATTTATAGTTGATTTATCGAGTCGCGGCGGAGTGCCTGTCTTCAATCGACCCAATTGGAAGCCTGCTTCCCGTAGTGATTTGCTCAAGCCCGTTGTTGCTGCTTCTCCAATGCGGCCAGCCGGATAAGCCTCAAGCCCGATGTGTATTTCGCCTCCCAGGAAGGTTCCGGTCGTGATGACTACTCTGCCAGTCTGTAGAATTTCGCCATTCTCGAGTCGGACACCGGCGATTGTGCCCTTTGCGCCGTCGCTAGAGCTTTCGTTTTCTGCTAAAATAATGTCTGACACGCTTTCAAGGACAAGCGACAGATTCGGATACGATTCGAGTTCGTTTCTCATGTACTTCTTGTAAAGATCTCGATCAATTTGTGCACGCGGACCCTAACAAAAGAAAGCATCAAGTTAGCATCATGACCAGACGAAGCGGATACCCAACATGACAAATTCAGAGCAAACATACCCAAACAGCCGGTCCTTTCCTACGGTTCAGTAGATGAAACTGAACACCAGCCTTGTCAATGATCCTCCCTGCCAACCCATCCAGCGCATCAATCTCTCGAATGATTGTCCCCTTGCCAATACCTCCGAAACTCGGATTGCAGGAACATGTTCCCAGATTGTCAATCTTGGGTGTAACCAGGGCCGTCCGCGCACCGGCTCTCGCAGCAGCAGCGCATGCCTCGGCACCGGCATGCCCACCGCCTATAACGACGACATCGAAGGCTCTGTTGTACGTGTTAGTTGACGTTTTCTCTCGTTGCGTTCTCTCCGAACAGTCTTGCAGCGCACCTATGCCTGCCGGTCACTGTAGCAAACCGACGATGTCTCAAATTGGGGCGCCAGTGAAATGACCGAGGACGCAATAAGGCACTCATCTCATCTCGATATGATCCAGCACCTGTATGCTTGCTCCCTACTAGAGATCCTCATGCGACAATTCGTCCGCTAGATTTGATATCCAGTGTCGCAATAATTTTTATCGATAAGCAGTTTAATAGGTACATATATCGGCTATATGCATATGGCGTATTACTGCCGCAGTGTCTATGTAGATGGCTCACCAAGATCAGGATACTTTATAGAGGAGTTTTTCACAATTGAAATCAAGAGAGTCGTAAATATTGTCAAGTATTAGAGTAGTTTTGGCTGTCATTTCGTTGCATATCGTGTCATCAACGCCTGTCCGAGTCTCTATTCAAGCCCAAGAGGAGACGGCGTCCTCAACCTCCTCCAAAAATGTTGTCGCGTTATGAACTGATGTGCCACCAAGAACCACACGCACGCCAGGCATCGTAGCGTTGACTCCAGCAATCATTTTGGCCTCCTCGTACGTCACACCGCCAACCATGAAAACGATAATGTCCTGCGGCTTGTCTCTAGTAGAACTGCCGTCGTCCACAAACGGATACTGTTGCTCCTTTAGTCTACCCTTGATGAGATTCTGCAAGGTGCCTTCCAGCAGCGAGCTATGCTGCGTATAAACGTTTTCCACGCCCTTGAGACCCTTGAATCGGTTTGCTGTGCCAGAGAAGATGCCAGCCGAGTCGAATATGTCTGAAATGCCGGTCCGAGAGTCCGAGGTGTGTAATGAAGAATGATAGGTGAGAACTTTCTTGACGAGATCTGCTTGTCTCGTAGACACATTGCCGGCCGCCACGAGAAGATCCATGAGCATGGGAAGGGCAGTTGAGGGGTGCCTCTGATAGCGCAAGGCATATAGAGCTACCACTCCAACCTTGCTTCCTGTCGTTATGTTAGGGGACTGGATTATTTTTTGCACAGCCTAGGTCAATCATTAGCTTCATCATTCCTCTTTCTTAATCATTAGCTATAATTATGAGAGTGTTCCTTGCCTTTAGATCGGAAGCATGATTGTCATTGCAAGCCAAGCTCTGCTCGAGTTCGCTGACCTCCAACAAGCTTTCCGCAGCAACTCTCCGGCTGAGCTCGGACACAAGCGTAACATGCTTGCTTACATTCCCGGAGAGCTTCCGAAATTCCGGATACTCTTCGATGAACCGTTTCATGTCAGATATTGACTCAATATTGGCATTGTTCTTTGTCTTGGACTGGTATTGCTCGACATATTCCTTGATCGTTCCGCCCAAGTCGCCAAAGTTCAGATACATATTCTTCTTGAAGAACGGATCCTGGTCTTGAGAGAGGACAATTTCCTTGAGCTCGGGCCGGATATCGGGAACCTCGCTAAGGTCAACTCGGCCGTTCTTGATGCCGAGAAGATGGTGAACCATGGCCTGGTAAGTCCACTGGGTGAGAAGAGGTGTCACCGGATCCTCCCTGCGATCCAGGATGAGAAGTATAGGAGGCGTGTCAACTTTCCGGAAATCGAATAACTGCTCCTCTTTTGTCATTATGTAGCGGACTTCGGAGGCCAGTTTTGTAGCCAGAGGACTGCTCTTTTCGTATCTGATTAACGGCTTCTTCTTCAGAGAGAGAAGCACAGCCAAAAGACCTTCAGAGCAACGCTGGAGAGAATCGGGGTGCCATTTGTCAGGGCTACCAGCCCATATCCGCTGCTGCGGAAGAGACATGTTGAGACTGAATAGATCTGGGTTGATGACGATATAATCGGCGAAATGCTCCTGCACAAGCTTGACGACTTCGTGGTCGTCCGCCTCGGCAAGCCGCTCCAAAGCAGATTTCTTGGCTACGTTTGTGAAGAAGAGATAGTACTCTCCGTATTTCGGATCCCGAAGCTCATCTATAAGCAGCTGTATTGTCTCTGACGAGGGGCGAACCAGGCATATACACCGGAGATGGCGCATCTTCTCGCGGCTAGCATTGTCCAGGCGGTCAATGAGATAGATTTCATAGTCAAGCAGCGAGGACTGTGTGATGGCTGTTGAGACGATGGAAATAGTCTCCCTATCTAGCAACAGAACCTTCATCTTTGAAGATGAAGCATCGCCCGAAGACAGCATCATCTTGGACAGGTATCCGGAGACAGCTTGAGAGACATCCATGATGACGAATTTCAGGGTTTGCCGCTAGCTACATGATATCATGCCCCGAGTAGCTCGATGTGTATTTGTGACAACCAGGAAATGGGTGATAAGCCGGACTGCTGAGCTGAGAATATCCGGACTGAGAGCGATCACTTGGACATGCGCCCATGGACAAGCTGGAGACGTGTTATGGAGTTTGGGGTGACCTCACTGGACGCCTGGAGGGAAATGCCCAATGAGGGAAGACGGAGAGCGGAAGAACTGGCAGCCGCATGAGGGAGCTTAGCAAACCAGTGCCCAGTTAGGACTAGACTTGGGAAGCTACGTACTAAATGACTGAAATAGGTACCTACTATACATATTGCTCGATCACAGTAGGCAATGTTATACCTTTACATGACGAGATGTTATCAATATGACGGGGGGATTGAAGCGTCATAATTATGCATGATTTAGCATGATGAGGGAGAAAATGAAATTATCTAGTTAGCTATGTTCTGGCGAGGTCCACCGTCTCATTCTCTATGGATGTACAGAGACGTACTCAATGCTCTCACTCCAACAACATGTACAAGCATATGAAGATGGCACAAACATTGAGAGATGTGAATAAATGAAGGCATGAAATACAAGCAGTAATAATTTCACCATTTTTTACATCTTGCTTTTTAAACGCTCTTGGTTCAAAATAGGTGGGGGTTGAGCTTCTTCCCTCTGCTCGGCCGCTAAAAGACTGCCCAAGTGCCCAGAGGCTGTGGGCAGTCCCCCACGCCTGATTGGCTACGTGCTTACATGCGTAAAAGTTGTCCCATTACACTCCATCATTGAACCTCAGGCGTCGATATCATGGTGCTTTTACCACCAAGTGAAGCAGCACCAAATTCACCCTTCACCTCACACCCAGCCCAGTGCCCACTCAATGGCCGGCCATAATCTTATCTAGCCAATTCTCTATCTTCGCTTCCTTGAATAAAGTCGGATTATCTTGAGAATGGCGGATTCTTGCCCTGCGCGGCATGAACCGACGTAAGCTGTCCTCTCTATCACAGCTTCCTCAAGGACTAACCCAAGTTTCACATTTCCGCCCATAAAGCCTCTCATTCACCCAAGGCCTCATAGTAGGCCAACTCTCCGTCGTCCTAATCCTAGCCGCCTTCATCAAATTCTTCATCTTCGGCGATGCGCCCTCCCCCGACGTCGCCGCCTCTCTCCGCGCCACAGAGCGAAGATCAAGGACGCTGGCACATAAGCAGTCCCTCCTACGACTACGCTCTCCCAGCCAACGCATCGGCCAGACCTTGAATCGCAAGAAGTCTACCGTCCTGAGGAACCCGCCGACGCTGACCATCGGGTCCATCCTGAGCAAGACGTACTACAACGTCGACAGCCATCAGCCGGAAAGTCTGGACTGGTTCAACGTGCTGATAGCACAGACGATTGCTCAGTTTCGCAGCGACGCCCAGCATGACGATGCCATTCTCAATTCTCTTACCAAAACCTTGAACGGGACGTCGAGGCCGGACTTTGTCGACGAGATTCGCGTTACGGAGCTCAGCCTAGGTGAAGAGTTTCCTATCCTTAGCAATTGCCGCATTATCCCTGTCGACGAAGACGGCATCAGCCTGGGCAGCCATGTGAAAATCGACCCCGCGACGGCGGCTCGGGATGGCACTCGCCTCCAGGCTCGAATGGACGTCGATCTTAGCGACATGCTCACCTTGGCAGTGGAGACAAAGCTGCTTCTCAACTATCCCAAAAAGCTATCTGCAGTTCTTCCAGTAGCCCTCTCTGTCTCCGTTGTGAGATTCAGCGGAACGCTATCCATATCATTTCTCCCGAGCAACCCTTCTCAATCAACCCCGACCATGATGGCCTTTAACTTCCTGGACGACTACCGGCTCGACTTCTCCATCAGGAGTTTGATGGGTAGCCGCTCACGGTTGCAGGACGTGCCCAAGATTGCCCAGCTGATTGAATCACGGCTGCACAGGTGGTTTGACGAACGAGCAGTCGAGCCAAGATTTCAGCAGATTGCGCTACCCAGCTTGTGGCCGAGGAAGAAGAATACCAGGGGCCCTGACGATGCGATGGCAGAAGGAAGTACAAGCTCTGCTGGTCTCTCCAAAGGTAAAGAGAGAGATGCTTCTGTTGGGGAGCAGGCTACTCTACGGCATCGCCGACCATTGGTGGATGATGAATTTTCCAAAGAAGGCTCTCTACGCAGTCTCAGTAGGGATACGAGGGGCTAGGGCACAAGTATGTTTTTATGATGGACAATGCATCTGGTTACACGGGCTTGATAGGCAACATTTGCGGGATATAGAAGGGCAGCATCAAAACCCCACGATAGTGTGGTTGGGAGTCATGAAAAGGCTAAATAACGCGAATCGCCACACAGGAGTAATGTTGGTTTGTTTCTTTCCTTTTGGCATTCATAGCTGGACGTATCAGCTCATGGGAGAAACGATGTGGACAGATAGTGACAAGTATGCTAGAATACTGCCAGAGCAATAGGCGACTCAGTTAGAGGATAAAAGTTCTTCCACCACGCAACTGAGCCACCAATGAGCAGCACGTAATAAATCCCAGACCACAAGAACGTGTGTCTCGGACGCGAAGAGTCAGCTTCGGCAAGCCAATACGGCTGGACAGCGCCCCAAACGCGAGGCAAGCCCATGGAGTTGCAGAATGTGTGGACCAGAATGACGGCAAGAAGAGATCCGGTCCGCAGAAAGACAAAGTTTGCGTAGGCTCCGAAGAGGGAAGTATACGAAAACTGCAGAACAGAGCGGGCAATGGCAGCCACCAGGGGCGTTTGCGGGTGGGTAATGCGAAATTCGTAAAAGTGGTGAAGGTGAGCAAGGCCAAAGACAACGGGAGATAGGAAGATGATTCTGCTGATGCTAGACCCTGCCACCAGGAGCAGTGGGATGGCGGCGGAGCGGAATAGACATTCTTCGGTGATGGGGCCCTGCGCAGGAGAGAGAGAAAACATGAGCATTCGGACTGAGTTGTAAACGCGCGGACAGGGGTATATCGACGACTGGGGCTCTTCATCTCATGGAGCTGGGGTATGCTTGGAAACTCACAGCAACCAGGTTTCGCCAGGTGGGCCATTCAGCCCAGATTTCCCGGAGAGGCTGAAGACCGGAAGCCCATTCTCGCCAGACGCCGTCAACGATGAGGCACTCGTAAAGGGGTGCGGCAAAGAGCAGGCCCGTCAGAAGACAGCTTTTGAGCGTCTCGACCAGGCCAAGCGGCCAATAGCCCATCAGATGCAGCGGGCTACAGCTGGTGGCGGCCGCTGAGGTGCAGACATAGGGCAAGAGCAGAAACGTAACGAGAGAGCACGCGGTGGTAGCCAGTGAGACGACGAATATCCTGGCGCGAATGGCCTCGGGAGCGTCTCTTGACTTGCCAGGGGCAGCTCTTGTCTGCGAAGACGCATAGAGAGGGAGCACATAGACGAGGGTGTACGCCGCCTGCGTTTTCCCCAAATAGCATAAAGCATAGTAGATTAGCGACGTGTGCATGATCCGAACAGAGTTTCGATACCGCTTACCAAGAGGCCAAACGCCTGGGGCTGGCTGAGAGCACCTGGTGACGGAGGATCCATCAGATGAGGCTAATATGAAACAGCGGCAGAGCGAAGCGTGTACGAGTAAATAGCGAGATGTCCAGCTGTTCAAGCAGGGTTGAAGTTACACGACAGGATATACAGAGCGTTGGGGATAGGACCAAAAAGCTCGGTGGAAGCTCAACAGCCGCGCGCCAGTCGCCAAAGTAAGCGGACGAAGACTCGAAGCCTGCATGTGCATGTGGTTCCGCGTAAAAAAAGAGAAGAGAAGAGAAAAAAAAGGGGGGATGGCTACCCTATGCGGGGAGTGGAATGACGCAAAGTTAAGCCGACGGGATGCAGCATAATATTAGTAGATGGATCATGGAGAGGCATTGTTGTTTTCATAATGTGAGCGTGAGAGAATGGATTTGTCGTGGGTTAGAACAATGGGGACTTGGTAGAATTAGGGCGTTTGGTTGTAGCTTTAGTTGATGCTACTGCGGCTCTAACGGAACTCTAAGCGGAATGGGTGGTTATTGTTGATGACTAAAGTTTCAACTGCAGATGATGGCAAGCAAAACTGTAATGGGCAACCTACATGAAGAAATACCACCCAAATGAATGCTGCTCTAGGTTATTCTGTATGATTTTGTCTGTCTTTGATTATCTGACTGATACTACTGTTACTTTGGGTGTCCTGGTCACAGTCATCCAATCTACGAGTGCGGACTAGCGAGTCCTGCAATATGCGAACCGTGCTGGATCGGGAACTCCGTCTGTGTATTTGCCGGGGGGG